CAGTTCCGTACACAAAATCTCAAGTGTGTGTGTGTGTCCACCCCTGTTTCCAAGGGCCTTACTCTAGCTATTCCTACTATTCTCCTCCAACCACCTGTACAGAACACTCGCAGGGGGTGGCAGCAGGAACGAGAGTCTGCCACCAACGAAGACACTCTCGATTTCCTGGTGATACTAGGACTGATCATCCCAGCGTACCTGCAAATTCTCCAATTGTTTGAATCATTTCACTTGCACTCTTGTTCAACCATACTGTTGCTCGGACTTTGCACATTTTTTCAGTCAAGGTCTAACCTGCAGTAACTTTAAAGAGCTAATGCCCTCCGCGAAGCAGCCTGAAATCGCGCTCTACGGAGCAACCTTCTCAAGTGTGTTTCCGCAGCTTCTTCCCACTGTGGTAAGCTGTGCGATCCCTGCGGGGCGCCGTTACTGCAAGAACCTTTTCACTCCTCACCGCGGGAGTAAGTTTCCTGAAGTTTTTCTGAAGTTCACTCGACTGAATTTTTCCTGCTCGAAATCAGCTTGCTTGGATTGTCTCACCTGGCACACGTGAAGCTTTACTGCAGAGTCCACTGAAACCTTTACTGAGAACATACTGCAGAGTTCGACTGCCTCAGTTTCACCCGAGAATCCTTCTCATGTTCATTTAGTTTCTTCAAGTTTTCAATTCTTTTTCCGAGATTTTAATTAGAGCCAGTTCCACACTCCTCCACTTTGCAGCAATATATATTGTATTGTATTATTTTTCAAGTTCAAGTTCCAGGACTGCTTCATTTTACATATTTACATACATACATCGACCTTATTCGATTTGCCGAGCAGCCATGACGTATCCTTGGCCGTATTCATTACCACATCACCTACAGCCACCACCACAGCCCACACGACCACACTGGTATCCTTATCCACCACAAACTCCGCCGCAACCATATCCAACACTTCCACCATTTCCACCACATCATCCAATACCTCATGTCTATCCACATCCCACGACATTTCCCCCACAAACACATTACATGCAACCGGCGTCACATTATCAACCACACCTGCCACGTTATCCAACACAACCTATCCCCACAGCCCCGCAGCACATTGCCGTTTCCGCTTCAGTTCAGCATACGCCACCACAACCACAACCACAAGCGCCGCAATCCACACCCCAGCCGACTGCGCCGCCAACGCCGCTTACCTCAGCGGATCCCACACACACAGCAACCCCTGCATTACCTGACAATTCACCAACAGCTGCTGCTGCTCCACCACCCGCTCAACCAGCAACTTCAATTCAGCAGTCCACTCAAGCCACTTCCACAGACCAAACCACTACACACACCACTCCAAGACCCATTACACAGCCCGCCAACCCCGCGCCACCACCTTCTGTGGCACGCTCAACCAGACCGACGCCCTCCATTTCACCTCCACGCATACAGGAACATCACCGCTATTCAGCCTTTCCCGCTGTTCCCACCAGCGCAGCTTCCCAGGCTACACCCAGATCCAGGACACGCGCTCGATCCCCACTGCCACGCCGACGACGCTCAGCTACACAATGTATTTCCAGTACGCAACCGCGTTCAACACCTGATGAAGCCATGCGCCGCAGCCATCAGCGCTGGCTCTTGACAAATCCCAACCAGCCACCAAAGGTATAACTGTTGCCACCGCCACAAAACCAACTACAGAACCAGCTTCCCGATCTCATCCCATCACACTCAAACCCAATCCACTCTTCAACCCCAAGCGGACCACCAACACAACACCCACAGCACCTACACCACCACCCACCAAAACTGCAGCAGTTCCAGTCCAAAGACGACCGCGCAACTTACAGCCACCCAAATTTCAACCACCCACATATCCAGCACAATTGGAAGTTTTCCAATGGATCAACGACCATGCACGTTCACTTGACATCCACAATGAACCCATGATCTCGTACGTGGCCAAAGTGCTTACAGCCGCTCATATCAACAGCGCCCATTTTACAGACATGCAACTTCTCACCCATACAAAGTGGAACGATGACACCAACAGCAACGATCACCACACTTTCCTTCTACTCACCATACCAACGCTAGCGAGCAGAGGGGACGCACCGACCCTCCCACCCACACGAAGAGAAGCTCTGAATATTCCCCCAATAAAACACATTTTCGCGGCGCATGTAAGCGAAGAGGGGAACATCATTTCCATACTCGAAGCAGGAGAGATCGTGCGTTCAGTACTACACGACCAGCATAGCGTTGGATTTTTCAGCCAGGCCTTTGAGCTTAGCAATTACGAGGAACGCGATGCTACAGAGGCAGCACGAGTACTCTACAATGCTTCAAACATGTCAAAGAACAAGAGCGGCCTTATTCTTACCATTAAGGCCTATGGCCACGGACAGAAAGTGACCTCAGGAGGCGAATCCGCAGCCAATGACCCCCTCCTTCGTGGTGAAGGAATAGTCAAACACACCCCTGGAAAATGCTGGGTTGTACATCCGAAACATTCACGCATAGAAGGAATCGCTTGGAAAAGTGATGCAAAACCTCCATTGAGCTTCATTTAAGCTGAGAGGTCACTGATCAAGCACCTCACCAAAGTGTGACGGACCCTTCTTGCTGTATAATGGTCATTTTTCACCCCTACAGTGTGGTTGACGACCGACCTCAAAAATCAATGCTTTTTGATCTCTCCCTTTCAATTCTTGAACTTCAGTATTTGTTTCACAATTGTTTATCTCGCCATTGGGATCAGACTCAACGAATGATGCCTTTTTGTTCTTCTACACTTTTTTATCGACTGCAGTACTTCCTCGCACCGCACTATTTTTACACTGCTATATGATTTTGCAAGCTACCAACAACACTGCATTCACAGATCCAATCCCAACTCTTTTGACTTTGTCCGCAGCCATTTCTACAATATTCAAATTGTGTGATCTTTGCGAGTTGCCCGTTCCCTGAACAGCACTTGGCCATACATCAACCTGATCAAGCCCTACCACAAGATTCGGGACAATGACGTCACCTTTCGATATGGCTCTAGCACATCGACTGCTACTAGCACAATTACAAGCAGCCACATCCATTGCCACTACATTCCAAAACCTGCCACCTTTTGCACCACATCCACCGGACATACTGCCCAATCCTTCTCTTTTTGCACCTCAGCAAAGCCACAACAGACCCGCGTCGCAGTCGCAGTCCACCGCCAACCACTGGCAAACTCCACACGCGATGCAAGCCAGAACTTTCACAATCACCCTCTTACACACCGACTTCTCCTCACCAGCAGTCACCAACGCGACAACCACCAACAATACATTCGCCACCAACACCTCCTCCAGACCCAAGCAAGCGGCATCTTCCCCCACCTGCAGCCACCTTTTCTTTGCGCAGCTCTTCCACCGCACCACCACCACCACCTCCACCATCACCACGACAGACAATTCCGGCTCCACTCCCATCCCCACCATATCCCGACAATGGAGGTTGGGAACCCAGTGATGACGAGAAACTAGCATCACTCAAGCTCAACAAACGAGCTCGTCCCAGTGGGAAGCAGATCGCCAAGACTCTTAACAAAACACCGTGTGATTGCAAAACACGTTGGAAAACTTTACAGATACTTTATACACCACAACCACTAGACAACACTGACACAAAATCTCCTGCCGCCGCATTGACTGAACCACCAGCCACCAGAGATGCTAGCGCGATGACAGCACAAGACATAGCGCCACTCAACGAACGCACAGAGACAGGCAATGCAGCAGACTTACACGACAACTCATGAGACCAAGACTGCCAGATACTCTATGCGATCAAACAGCTTGCTCGACCATATTTGGACTATGCTTTGCACTATGTTTTGGACTATTTCCTGATGAACCACATTCAGCTCCTCTGATGCCCTATGTACTTATTTTCACATTTACTTCACTTTGCAGTTCACCAATGTTGATTCCTCTTTGCAGTTGTGAGCAACAGACTCCAACAAAGCGAGCTTCAACGCACCTCTCTTCCACAGTTGCAGCAAAAAGCAAAGATGCAGTTTTTCACTTGCCAACAATTGACACCCACTGTCTCGACTTCCCAATCAAACAAACGAACAATCCCACTCAACTGTCTCGGTTACTGCAGCGATGCACTTGTACAGACTCATGGAATTCACTCGCTCTGTTTATTGCATATGCGCGCGAAGTTTTTCATCCTCTATATTTTGACCATCATGTGATTTCGACAGCTTCTTTTCAACACTTCATGTTTATCGCAGCTGTGCTTTCGATCAATCGCCGCTAAGTTTCTCCGCGTACAGAGTTTTGCATTGACCGACGGAGATGGACCCTATTATTGCATTGGACGCTCAAATTATTTCGCAGCTGCAGGACACCAACATTCAGATCAATCGACTGATGGTCCAACAGCTCAATCGACTCAATGACACCATCAAGCAATTGCAGCTTGCCGAGTCAGACAACTTCAATCAGGATCCTCGTCTACAAGGTCGAATACAACAGCTACAAGCCTTACTACCTACCGTGAAAACAGCTCTGGAACATCAACAAACTTTTTACCACCAATGCCTCAGGCTACATCATATACGCACTACCTTGCACCATCAAGTCCTACGCCTCGCCAGCACTCTTGACAAGTCCAATACAAAACCCGGCGCCACCACTTTTGATCGTTCCAATACGCCCCCTTCACCAAAACGATCAGCCGAAGAAGAAAAACACCGCTCCACAAGCCATCAGCCAATACATCTCCAAGAACGCAAACACTCTTCACAATCTTCATTACAACCTCACCACCGCACGGCATCCAGACGATCAACCTCAAAGGCACGCCGTCGCCGCCGCAAGTCACCACGCAAACAAACAACAGCCTCAACACCGCGACACCGACACGCCTCTACCCAGCGAAAAAGCAAAAGCGAAAGCAAACACAGACACAAACGCTCTCAGCGTACACCCTCACCACACCAACACAAGCGCAGCCATCACTCAAAACACTCAAAACACTCCCACACACGATCCAGATCTTGCAGACGCTCTCCCACTACATCTCACCACACACAGCTTAGCCACCACCACCACACCAGTCACCCAGCATACAGCCATAAACCACGTCACACATCTCACCGCCGATCTTCACGCCAGCCACGGCGTACTCACAAAAACATTGTCACCCAGTCGCCACACAGATCGGCGCACCTCCAGACACTCCTCACGAGCATCCCACACTACTCGACCAGGTTCTCCTCATACACCGCAACCACCACTCAGCCCCACAGAAGAGACCAGCGACAGCGTGTTTGCACTTCAGCATTCACCTTCTGACAAGACTACATCTAACATCACTTCAGCACCTCACATTACCACAGCATCCAAACAACCTCCACTACCACCTCACATTGTGTCGTCCGCTGAGCTTCCACCTCCACCTCCACACAGCCACCGCCAAAAACACCACCAATACCAGTCACACCGCGACCAAAAACTTCTCCCACAGCATCACCATCCACACGACCGATGCATCCACCTTATACAATACGACCAAAACAACCACCATTTCCACCACCGCAACGCTTACTATTTCCTCGACAAGCAGAAGAAGATCCTACGCCATGAGCGGCGTACGATGCAGTCCAATACAATCCAATACAAAAACCATATACCCTTGACTCACATTGACTCACATTGTTTACTTCAACACTTTCAATACCACTTCAAATCAATCCACTGACTTACCACAATCCTAAACAACACTACTATCTCAATTTCCATCACAACACTGTTACACGACAACAACACATATATACACGGCCGACAGCTCGACTCCGATCAACAGTATCGGGAGGTTTCACCCAGCGCGTTTCACCATATCCTTTCGTGTGAAAAACTTTGACTTCTATACTTTGCTGAACCAGCCTTTCTTCTACTTCTGCACCTACAGTCCTTTGCCGATTTCCAGCTTTCCTTGTTCCAATGTACAATTTTTCAATCGTCAATCTTGTCCACTGTTGCAGAGGCGCTCCAGTTACACCATCAAAGTCTTTCCGACAATGCTGTACATTTCTCTTCAGCTATTTCCAATTCAAAACCATTTCCCATTTTCGTGTCGACACTTTCAGCATCAGCAGTGATGGAAGCAGCTTTCTGGCAATGGGCCCATGGTACGCCCGCAGCCCACCTTTACGGCGTCTACACATCGCAACACAGCCTTCGCACAGGCCTCTACCACAGCCGAGAACAATTGCACTCTTTGCAGCAAACGATGTATTTTGACGAAACCACATGCCCACATTTGCCACAACCACTGCTGGACCGCATTCTCAGGATCCGTGCCCTCGTCGATCATGCCGCAGATGACTTAACCGCAGCCCTGGGACGCATCGATGCCATTGGTCAACTATCACCCAGACGGCTCAAAGGCAAGGGCAAAGGCACTCCCATTGTCTTGCCTGACCCAGCCGATGATCCAATCACCAGCATCACTCAAACCGACCTCACGCACCCATACACTTCTCCACAGGGTACCACACAGCCACACCCAGCGCAACCTCCCACTACCAACATCACTTCACACGATTCAACACAAACCAACACCACCCCACCACCGGTGACGCCTGACTTTCCCCAGACCCAACTTCAACAATTCACAGCGCCGCCACCACGTCCACAACAATCCTACACTTGCATGCGCTCAGCAAACTGTTGCATTTCCCCACCACGACCAGTCATCAGCTATTTCCGATCCATCGCTGGCACGCTCCTGCGAGCCACTTCCAAAGCGCTAGACATTATGCTACTACATCTCCTACCTCAACATCCGGGCCAACTTTTCATTCCCAAACTCTGGCAACGCCTACACACACACACACACTTCCACGAAACGCCAGCAGACATTCACCTCGCCGCCATCAACGATGACCTCGTCGGCTTTTTCAACAGCGTACCGCAACAACGATTGGTTGACGCAGTAATAAGCCTTTGCACTCGCTGGCGCATTCAACACACTACCACCACTCTCAGCATTGATGTACAATCCACAGGCAATCCCATCCAACACTCACACATCGGCAGGCACTACATCCACCATCCGCAGCAACGTGCAATCGACGCACAACACATCCCTCTTATTGTCCAACATGCACTTCAATCATGCATTTTCCAAGCTTGCAACTCCTACTACAAACAAATTCAAGGCGCCGGCATTGGCAGCCAACTCTCACCAGCTCTTTGCAACGTTGCCATCACACTCATTGAACACACTTGGCACACCACCTATCACGAGTTCCTACAACAACCCAGCCTTCACCTCTTCAATACACGCTACGTTGACAACCGCTACATCCTTCTCAACGAACAGTTCCGACAAACATTACCTATCACCACACTTGCCCCCCTGATTTTTACGAACATCCGGTTGAAATAGAGCCAGTGGACGACGACCATCTACTCGGCTTCCACATTGATCCGCTCAACAGAACCGTCACTTTTCAGCTTCCCACACACCCCTGGCAGATTCGCGACCCACAGTCCGCCGGAAGCCACAGATTACGGCTTTCAGGCCTACGATCACGACATCACACACTACGTTAATACACCTATCCCCAGCATTTGATCCCGACCACTTCCCAACAGTTGATGCAGCTTTATATGACAAAAGGTCATTCCTACGAACACTGCGCCGCGGCGCTGCGGCCACGTCGAAAAGAGCGAGATTGTCGGCACAACACATTGCTATTCTTATTTATTTGATTTTTTGGCTGATTCTTACTGCGCCGGACTCGGCTCTCTGTGTGTGTCCACCCCTGTTTCCAAGGGCCTTACTCTAGCTATTCCTACTATTCTCCTCCAACCACCTGTACAGAACACTCGCAGGGGGTGGCAGCAGGAACGAGAGTCTGCCACCAACGAATACACTCTCGATTTCCTGGTGATACTGGGACTGATCATCCCAGCGTACCTGCAAATTCTCCAATTGTTTGAATCATTTCACTTGCACTCTTGTTCAACCATACTGTTGCTCGGACTTTGCACATTTTTTCAGTCAAGGTCTAACCTGCAGTAACTTCAAAGAGCTAATGCCCTCCGCGAAGCAGCCTGAAATCGCGCTCTACGGAGCAACCTTCTCAAGTGTGTGTGCGTGTGCGCGGTACTTGCTTGCTGCCGGCAAGAACGGCAGCTTTTTGCAAAAGACTCCCGTTCGCAGCTCTCCAGGCTCACCGCTCATGGTGGATCTAGCTTTGAGCCTATCCTACAAGCCTTCCAAGATGGAGAATTCATGGTGCGCGTGCGGGAGCCACTTGACTTGAATAGCCTTGAATTCATGTGCATGTTGCTACTGACCCTGAGCTTTGTAAAAAGCAAGGTGCATTCGAATGCCAGCCTTCAACAGTTTCAGTCTTGCATGGCATCCTTGTACTTGAGGTTTGTATCGCAGCATTCTCATTTCTTTACTGCCACTTGCACTGATGGCTCCCACCCGCTGGTTTGGACACAGTACCATTTTCATTACAAGGAACTCTTTGAAAGACAGCTGGCTGATGTTCTACAAGGCTTTGATGTTTTGGAAGATGATTTTGCAAACTTTTGTGATTGGCTGAAAGTGAATGCAGAGATTTTCGAAGACGATACGGAGGGCTTGTACCCCTTCCTCTCTTCCATTACAGCATCACTAGAACCTTGCCTCGCAAGGAGAAATGCGCTCAAATGTATTTCCTTTTTCTGTGTCGGTCTACTGTAGGTATTTTTTTTAATCTTCCCGCACACGCGGGTCGGACTTTACAGCAACAGAGTGAGGACTATGAGACGTTCTTGGGTGTCATGTTTGAGGAAGTGCGGCGTAGCAATGGGGGAGTTCAGCAGATTGACGTGGTCGTTCCTGATGGGATGACAGCTGGAGAGGTCTTGCTGGTGGAGTATTTGGGCGCACACTATGAACTGATCATCCCTGAAGGCTGCGAAGCCGGGATGGTCTTTCAAACCTCAGTCACGCTTCCCAACTGATTGGATAGCTGACCTCTTCCTCCTTTGACTGGGGCCCTTTTATATACGATCTTCGGACAGGGTGACCCTCCACTTGATGGTTTCCAGAGGCCAGTCACCAAGCATGTCAGACGGTGAACACGGAGATCTCCAGCTCGTCCCCGTTCCTGCAACTCTCCGTTAGAGCTCACGACGGTCAACATGGACAATCTGTGCTTCGTGTAGCGAGCTCGACAAAGTTCTCCAAAACTAGTTTGGCTGTGACGAAGCATGTGCAATTTGCCCACAACATCAAGTGTGGAGCGAGACCGCGTTCTGGGGCAAGCTTGAGCAGAGAAAAGATCGGGGTGCCGAAATCTTTTTTCTGCGCACCGCGTTGTGCTTGTTGGACAAAAGTTTGACAAACCAGGACAGCACTTTGAACTTTGCTCGGACGCGGACCGTTCGCTTTTTGGCAACTCAGAAAAAGGTTGTGAAGTTCTTTTTGTTCCAATTGGAGATGGTCTTTGGTGAACTAGTGGCACAAGGATTTGACAAGTTCTGGAGTTGTTGTTTGAAAGATTCAAGGATTGATTGTTTTTTTGCCCGTTGTAGAGTAGCAATGCCATGGAAGCGGAGCAGGTGCAGGACATGCATGGAATTTTCTCTGATCCACATGGGGTGATTTCTTGTTCTTTGTTTTTGTTGAGTGGCCCAGGAGGAAAAGCGTTTAGGATTGGAGGAGCGAGTGGGACAGATTGAGGCTGATATATTTGCTTCAGCGCTTCTTCCTGCTGGAACTGATTTAGACTTTCAGGTAGCTTTGGAGATGTGTTCCTTTCAGGTAGACCTCCAACGTGCCAAAGAGGACGTTGAGGCATTTCAACCATTTTCAAGCCTGCCTCAGCTGTTAAGTGCTTTGCTCACGTGCTTTGCAGGCATGTTCAGTCCTGCTGCTGTCACTGGATGGCGTTTGTGTCTTAGCGGAGAGACTTTCATCTTCCAGACTAGAGTCTGCAAAAAACAATAGGGCGCAGAGATGCAAGTTGAAGCATTTGAGTTCAATACCCCGTCGCGGCCTGCTTGAGGCAGCAGGCTCCGCAGTGTCAGGTTCGTTCATCGAAATTTGGAAAGACAATTTGGAACTTGCTCGAACCCCTTACAACTTGTACTCGTACATCTTACTGCGGTCGTAAAGCACAGCGGTGTGTCTGTTTGGAGGTCAGCGGACCGAGAGCTTTGACGACGAGACTCTTCGCTTGAAGGTCGGGTTTCGACGGCCCGTGAGTTGTGTCTCGCTGAGCGGTGTCCACTCGACGAGGCGCGGATTGACGTCTTGGAAGATGCCGCGACCTCAGAACCGAACGAGAGTCTCGCGTGACGCGATCGGATCCTTTTCGCTGTGTTCGCTTCCTTCTTCTTCGCATTCCGAAGCGAAGAGCAAAGGCTTGGACCCTGCGCAGCACCACAGTGGCGCAGAGAGCAGAGGCTTTGCATGGCTTTTGCATTGCTCACTGGCGGAGTCCGTTCCTTTGGAATGTCGAACGAGTCTCGGGCACTGCACCGTCCAGGAGTCAATAGCTCGTGTAGAGGAGGAGGCGTCGGTGAAATTGTACTGTATCATGGGTGAAATTGCCTCCTGAACAGCATGGGGGGTGTTGGCAGGAGCAAAGGACGCTACTAGGGGCTACTGGCCTTACTACTAGTAACAAGAAGCTACGAACAGAGCAAAGGACGCTACTAGAGTGGCAGGTAAAGAAAATCTGGAGAGAGTTGCTGTCAAAGGAACGCCAGGGTCTTACCTTTGCGTAGCTCCTCGCATCGCTTCAATCTCGAATGTGACTGGGTTTGCACACAGGCAACAATACCTCCAAGGAAGGTGGTCACGTCGAGGCCCACAGAATCTTTTGACAGTTTAAAGCTTTGATTAACCTTTTCAAGTTTGGATTCTCAGATGAAGCATCATTCAGGCAAGAAATGCCTGACAGGCCAGGATAGTTGATGACCTCAAGCATCGAATAGAGAAGACCCAGAGCCAGGTGCTGACCCATTAACGGACATTTAGGGACAAGCAGTTTTCCCTTGCTCCAATTCCCATCAGCCGCTAGCGCTGGCGCCCAGATAACAGAGTTGCATGCTCTGAAGCCGGAGAATGTTGATGCCTTAATGAAGAAGATGATCGACGAGGCGCCAAGTCAGCATTTGAGTACAAGAGTTAAGAGGAGAGCCGAGGCGGGCTTTCTTGAAAGAAGCCTGTCAAGTAACACCTGACTCCCATCTCTGACACAACGTCCCAAGAGAAGCGAGCGCAGCGAGCGAAAACGGAACCGTTTGCGCTTGCTGCTCGAGGTGAGTCGTTCCGTGAAGCTCTTGGGCGACCGATGCTCCAAGCTGGAGGCACCTCAGATTCTGTTTGTTTTGGACGAATTCATTTTGTTTGGATCTTGAATTGGCGTTTTCTGGTGTTCTGCTTTCCTTATCAAAGGAGGAGCTGGCGTCACTACAAGCTGCCGATGCAACCTCGCAGGCAAGCCCGTGCATGGTTGCAAAGCCCGCCACTTCATTTCAGCAAAGTGCTGGCAACAAGGAATCGATTCGGCTTCAAACGAGGTAGACCGCCGGCGAACAGAGCAATTGGAGAAAATGGTTCAGACCTCATTTGCTTTTCTAAGCTGAACGGAGATGTCGAAGATGGTCTCACAGGGCAAAAGTGGACGGTGACAGCTTCACGATCATCTCAAACCATGCTTAAAAAAAGGCTCGCTCCACTTGCAGATCACAAAAAAGGGAGCAACCTCAAAAGGAGAGGAGGCTGACCAAGCTCAACTGCCATCAATTCGATCCTTGGGCCTTCGAATGTATTCAAGACGTACGTCGCACGTGACGGCGAACGATTGGCTGTCTCGTGCATCTGGCTGACACGGTATTTACACACCCACGATGTCAAGCTTGGCACACGTAAATACTAGTGCTCACGTGAATTGAATATGTTTGGACCATCATTTGGCTGCCAGCTGTCCAGAGCCGTCCACTTGCCACCAAAACCTGTCAGTGCATTTCCGGGCAAAAACAACTTGGGATAGCAGGAGATCTAAAGCCCCAGTAGCTGGCTGTGCCCTTAGGTCGACTTGTGCAGCCCTCAGTTGTTTTTTTTCGATTCGGGGCGTCCACCCGGAGCTTGCAGCGGCGGCCCTTGGCCGCCTCAGGTTGGTGCAGCAGCGGCGGCAGGATCTCCAGCATGCTCAGGCAAACTTTCGCGAGGTGGAAGCGAGGCGAGACCTGTGGTAACTGTCTGGCTGGAGTGTGATGAAGCCATCTCAGCCCTCAGCCACAGGCCCCAATCTTCTCTTGCTACAACATAAAATTTGAAAGAAGAGAAGCCTCAGCCGGTTAGCTAGGACTAGCGTTGTAGGTTTAAGAAATGCAAGTTATGTTTTTGATGCTGCTTGCATCATCTGCATCATTTTTTTGGTATCGGCTTTCTTCAGCGGCAACACATTGTTTCATCAACCCGTCGTTTGTGACTCCCCTTCCGGTAGATTTAGTGTTGGAGGGTTCCCTGGCCATGTTCCAAGCGCCATATGTGATATGTGTGGGGGTTCGGACTGGACACTCGCGGAACCAACTACTGTTGGTTTGTAATTGAATGTATTTAACATGTTGCACTGTATTTGCAATCTAACATCCACAGAGAGGCAACCAACAATTTGATCTTCAAAATGCAGCGACTTGTGAACATTAAGGTGGAATCCCAGAACACAACGTTTGAGAACCTATCTTGTGGAGGTTCAATGACTTGGACCAGAAGGAGCATTTGGAGGACAGGTACTGGTATCCTGTGATTCACTTACAAGTTCCAGCGTGTCCTGTTGCAGAAAAACTGGCGTCAAGAAGCTGAGGCCAAGCCAAAATAGCTTTACTCCATCTACACTGTGCACTGGTTGTTTTCGTCGTCCCTCATGCATTGCGCGAGGCCATTCGCAACGAGATCCACGACATGCGTGCGACCCACGTCCCATCGCTGTTTCAGCAGAGCGGCCGGCATGTTTCTATTCTTCACATATGAGTATGAGGATGCACGTCTCAGGCAGCCCGGACCAGAGCTGAGGCACATGAAAGCAATGAAAGCCATGCAAGAAGGGCTGTCGGCCGTTCGCGCTGAAGTGAAGAAGTGGGGCTGCTTAATCATGCTGAACTGACTGTTCTTTGACGTCCAGTGGATGGTGGCACTTGCGTACGTTTTCTGCAGCTAGGCTCTCCGAGCTTGTGGAAGTTGTCCAGACACAGCCCGGAGACCAGGCGCCCATTGGAAGCGCCCATGTGCAAGTATAAGTTGGGGCCGTGGTGATCACTCAGCGTTGGCCACCAGGACGGTGCCTTCAAGTCAAGAGAGGCCTGTTGAATTCCTGAACATGCTTAAGTGACTCATAAAACCGCCCGAAGAGCAGTGTCAGAGTTGCACTTGTGGACATCTTGACCAGACTGTAGCTTCGATATCTGTCAGTCAACCCCCACAGGTTCTGGCTCTCAAGGCCCAGGTCAGTGACCTTCAAGAGCAGGCAATTGGGATCAGTTGAGAGTTGCGAGCAATGAATAAGCCTGTTGGGGGCAAATGGAAAATCATTGACACTGACATACCAGCAGACAGGTGCCCCCAGAATTGTGACGAGCTGGGCTTCGCTTTGAGGTGACCCAGCTCGTGGTCCGTGGATTGGAAGAGCGTTTTGCCAATTTGCGCGCCGATGTGTCCAGAGAGGCGGATGGCCATGGGCCATGCTGTTCGGTGTGCGGTTCAGCTCGCACCGCGGTGCCGAAAGTTCGCCAGGTCGCGACAGTGGTTCGCGAGTCGAAGGAGAACTGGGTAGGCGAACCATGTCGACTCGCAGTGAGAAGGCATAGGATGGCACTGGAACCATAGGATGGTCATGGATGGTACATGCTTCTTGTGTATCTTTGCATGCGTCAGCCGGTTTTCAGTGCGTGCTGCGTTGCTTGTGCACGCAATTAGCACGACATCTCGCCAGTGGCATCCCGACGCCTTGCAGCTTTAGAGGCAAGGCATCGACAATCGATGCAACCTGACACGATCGGCATTTGTGGAGTCTTTGAGTCACCGAAACGCGACACGATCGGCATGTGGGATTGAGAAAGTTCTACTATTAGGCTTGGCCTGCCTCTCAAGCTGAGTTGAGTGCTTCGATGCACTCCCTGAGATCAGAGCACCAGGAGGACCGGATTGTGAATACACTTCTATCTATCTATCTATCTATCTATATCTATATATATAGTATTTTTTTGCGGGGGTGGTATTTGTTTTTGAAAGGACTCCGCAACTTACAGTTGCCGTGCTCTTGACTTATGAACGCTTGTATTGATCGAGTTGGACCCTTTGCCACGTATTGTGCCATTTGCTCAAGACACAAGCTGAGCAGTTCACCAAGTCACCCGCATTCAGCCGCAGTGAGTGTCTTGCACTTTCGAAGCCATGGCTATGGACTCCAAATTGCAAGCACAGCTGTGATGCTTTTCTGTTCCTTTTTTCATAGAAATGTTTGTATAACTGCATAATAACACGGCATGGTTTGTTTGTGGCTCCAAGCCTAGGACTACATGGTTGCACAGGTCTTCGGTGAGACCATCGAGAAAGAGGATAAGCAACTCGTGCTGTGTAGAGAGAATCAGGAAGCCAAAGTCTTCACCAATGAGGGTTGCTTGAACCACAGCTGGAACACTGAGCTCGACTGTCTTTGTGCTGTTGTCTGCATTTGTGAGGCAATACAAGAAGATTCGAGAAGAACAGCGGGCAAAAAAGAAGGCTCAAGAAGAAGCTTTGGGCATTTCGGTACTTTGGAATCAATCAGTGGTTGCTGGCTTGGTAACGAAACTTGAGATTATCCCCCATAGACTACTGTACACGCTCTAGCATCCTTGCTGTAGGCTTCAATCCTTTTGATGTCCGAAACCTTGTTTGTCCTTGTTTCGGGGGCTTTCGTGAGCCCCATGACCTCTTCGTATGACCTCACCCCTTTCAGGTCAAGAGGAGTATGTCCGTGCCGAAGCAAAAGTCGCTCCTGGGATGCGAACACGGAGGAAACATGATAGAAGCTTCTAGGGGCTCCTGGCCTTACAGTACTACTAGGAGCAAGGACGCTACTAAGGGCTCCTGACCTTACTACTAGTAACAAGAAGCTACTAGGCGTCCGACCCCAAGCGACCCCCAAACGACCCGGTCCGATGGATCCGATGGAGTCCTTCGATGGATCCGCGGCCTTTTTTCAGGTGCCAAGTCTCTCAGCAACTTGTCTGCCTGGGGTTCCGCAAGATTTCAAGCGGTAGATGTGGAGAGCTGTGTTTTGGTTTCGATTTGCCAAGCAGATCCAAGCTGCCTCATTCATGTTGATTTTCTTCCTCAGGCTGGAGCAGTCCTTGGGTCACTTCCCTAACCCACACCCACACGATGGCAAGCCACGTGGCTCTGCTGAACATGTCCACTGGGTAAAGCTAGATCGTGACTGGTAAGATTTGGAAACCAGCTTTGGTCCTGTTGCATGAGGCAAGTTGACCAAAGACCTTGTTTAATGTAACCGAATGTATAACAAGTGCGAGAATGGACGAACTCTGGAGCTCAGCAGAGTGTGCTGTTGTATGTCAAATCTGAAACACGTCGCGTCACGCTTAGTGATTCCTTCCAAGGCCTGAATGCAGATCCACAGAAGATCTTGCGCTTTGGCGTGTCTGCAGAAGGCAACTTGATCGAAGTAGCACAAAGTAATATTAAGTATACATGCGCCAAGCACTTAATTTCTTGAGTTGATGAAGTGTCCTTAGGCCAAGGTAGAGGCTCCTTGTTTGCAACTGGAACTATCACCGCTGCATTTTGGGAGAAGTGTTTTGCAGATCTGTGGCAAGTTTGCAATCTAGGTGCCTATTTGAAGCTCGAAAGGACCAAGGGGGGTCCGATCGAAAGGCAAGTCTGCTTCTTTGGGATTTGACATTTCTTGCTGCGTTCTGCGCTGCTTTGATTTGAGACAGGTATGGCCGAGCCATGACCACTGCACAGGAGATCGGCTGGACCGCTGGGCCAGCCACGCCACTTGGGCCGTACAATCGCACCAATCGCCCAACTGTGCTGTTCAGGAACCAACAGGTGTTGAAGAATTGGCCTGAGTGATGTTTGGTTGGAAGGCCATCGCTAGTAGGTTGGAGGCCATCGCTACTAGGGTGGAGGCCATCGCTATTAGGTTGGAGGTCATCGAACTCTTTTTAATACCATTTCGCATCGAGGAAGACCTACAAGTCGTCGCCTTTTGCCCACCGACCGCTCATCGAGTCGCAGTTTGCCTGCCATGGTTGAACACAACCTACATTCAGAGATTTTGTTGGAAAGCTTGGAATCAGTCTTGACTTTTCATTTGCCGGATCACAATGAGAAGAGCCTCCGACAACAAATGAGTGGGCAGGTTCTATCGTCCCATGGGTGTGAGCTTCTCTACTGGTGCACTGTGAGCCTGTATGGAGTGGGCCTGTAAAACTTCTGGAGTCCTGCAAAGCAGCCAGTCTCCAGATTTTAAGACGAGCGAAAGTCAGCAGAGTCGCCCAACCCACGTTTCGGGCCGTTTCGGGTGATGCAATTCAGAACGGAACACAACCGGTTTCTTAAACACGGGAAATAAAAGAAGATCTCCGTCTGGCAAGGACAGTTTCACCAGGTCTCGTTCCCCTTCTTCGCTCGTTGGTCCCGAAAGTTCACAGCAAAGCTGCGTCCGAGAAAAGGGCCTCGCCAGCTGCGATCCAGTACGACTCGCTTCCACTCGCTTTTCTGGGGCGGATTCCACGCGCTTTGGGTCAAGATGGAGTTTGCGGAGTTGCAGCCAACGGTCTACCATGATTTCAACGCAGCAGATGGAAACAATGTGGGACTGTACTCAAGATAACTCCAGTCCTGAGCTACCCTAATTTCTTTGTCGCCATGCAGTTGCTCGTTGTTTCATTCTTCTTTCAGTTCCTCTTTCCTCTCTCCAATGTTTCCTTTCCATCGGGTGCTTTTATTCGCAATTGTGTTTCCTTTTGCAATACCCCTTGATTTTATTTCCACTCCCCAGTCCATGTAGTTCCTCCCTCCACCCTCCGCTGCCTTCTGTTTCTTTCTTCCACGAATCCCCCTCAGCAGATTGAGCAGCAAATAACATTACGGTTCAAGTGTGCTTTAAAGACTGTTAATGTTTTTAAATACAATGTGGTCATAAGACTATAACAAGAGTAATATACAAGAGCTAATACCGCGACAGGTTCCGTTCCTCAAATTCCTGAACAGGACCGTGGCCGTTTGGAGATCCTCAGCCGAGAAGCAGAAGGGCTTGGCCGGCAGGCAAGGATCTTCGATTGGCATCCCAGCAATCTCTAAGTAGGTCAGTCAAGTCAACTCATCAACTCTTGAGGTGGTTCATATCCGCAGAGAGCTATCTCTTGGGAGACCGGAGATTGCAGAGGAAGGGCTGACTGGGGCGCCTTTTTGGATACAACTTGGATAGCCATCCACTGTCAGATGAAGACAACGCACATGGTCACATGCTCATTCTGGAAAATGGACGAAGATGGTTCATTCCTCAGCAAGAGCCCAATAATGAGCTATACAGCTGCTAGACTGTTCATACTGCCCCACGTCAAGACTAGTTGATCGGCAGGAGCCAGCAGTGGCATCCTCTGGCGGCCTTCTGGAAGGCGGAAGTGAGTGGTCCATTGCTTTGGGGGGTTGGAGCATGTTGGAGTCCGTCCGTGGGAGGTCTCTTCGGCGGCGCGGAGCCGAAGAAGATTGCGGTGAAGAGCGCCGCGAAGATGGCGGTCCTGGCGACCTCCAAATCACCCAGCCATGGACCTCAGAAAACCGACGGGGAGCTGTGCACCTGTTTTCGCACACCAGCCCGACCAACACCAAGCCCCACGAAGACCCCAGTGCATAGAAAAATGGGCTGCACTCTTCCCATTTGAGCGCGTGCTATCAGGAAGCAGCCGAAAGAAGACTCCGGACTCTCGCAAGAGTGCTGATGGGCAGGCTGTGGTCAACTGAGCATGTTGAGGAGTTGAGGAAGGTCTGTACCAAGAAGTCACAAGGGATCCTAGCTCACCAAGGACTGCGAAGAGAGCAGGTCAAAGACAAAACATATTTCGACAGCAACTACTGTAAATACTCGAACACATTTGCAGATCAAGGCCAAAAATGGTTGTGAGACCCGCAGCAGACTGTGTTGGCCTGTGAGGTAGCTAGATCAATCACACCACGAGAGGGTCCCACAAGAGGACAGCTGGAGCGTTTCGATACAAACGAGAAGGGAAGAAGTGATACAAACGAGAACCGTTTGTTGGAAAGAATCATATCAACGTACACCTACTGTAGGGTAGTGAAATGACATCATGGTTGCTGTTGACATTTCGCCCAAATGTATCCAACACAATGGGCGACAGGATCCCTTGAGTCCTCCTCGTTTTTCGACAGGATCTCGAAGCTCGACGACTCCAGGCTTCCCAGCGGTGATTGGGCCAAAGGTGAGGCACCGAGCGAGTGACCGGAGGTCAGAGGAGGCCAGTTCTGGCCGTCCAAAGAGGTTTGTTTGGTGTGGCGGTCCTTTTTTTGGGGGTTTTGGGGGCTGGCATACTATGTTGGGCATTTCCACTCGTTGAATTTGGTCCACATGTTTCACTCCTGAGTGACGCTGCCAGTTGGAGTGGGCTTTGCCTGCAAAGGTGCTGAGGGAGGCCAGTACAAGACTCGTTCTTTGCTGCACCAATGATTTGATTCTGGTCAAATTGGTCTTGGGCAGGTCGGAGCACCAGGCACCAATGGGGTGCTCACCACAGGAGAGATGGAGGCGGAAATTCGCCATTTTGGCCATTTTTGTGACCAGTCGATGGAGGGTCCGAAGAACTTCTTCACTTGTTGGGACACCAAACATGTTTTTTTGGACAGAAGGTGTTTTTGGAGCAGCCGGCACTCCATCTTTGGCTGAGAGGTGGCCGGCATTTTTTGCCGCTTGAAGTTCTTCCCTGATGGCAGCCCCTTGCGACAGACGGATGGCTCCTGCAGCTCGAGACTCACTGGCGATGAAGTTTGAGCCAACGAAAAAAGTCGTCTCCCTGCTGCAGGTCTCTATTTGGTGTGCACAGTGCCAAACGTGAACGTCAGGCTCGGTGCGGCCTCGGTGCGTCTCGCTGGGATTTGCTCGGTATACGGAACGATCCTGCGAGCAGTCCATCCTGTGAAGAGCAAAGCAACTCTTTTGCACTGCTTGGTTTTGACGTTTTGGATGAGGTTCCGGCTGTTCGCGGGCAACAGGTACTCGCCCGTCCTAGAGGCAGGAAACCCCGCCTGAGATAGATTCGGCGCCAAACGCTTTGAAAACACAGCCCAAAGGCCAACACTGCCAGAGGTGGCCGCGACCAAGGAAGGTGCCTGCACTTTCTTTGCACAAAAGACTCATAAGAAGACTGAAGATGTATCCTCAGTTGGTTCATTTTGTAGCAGAATTTGCTTGGAAAGGCATGATCTTTGCCTACTGAAGGATGCTCCTTGGCAGAGACTTAAGATGTCGGTCCCAACTTTGACTGGTGACTGGTGACTGTCGCATGTTTCATTGGCAAATTCTCGCCTGCAGTGGAACTCACCTAAACTTAGGTACTGAACGAAGATGGAAGCGTCGTTGTTGGTGCAGAAATCCTCGAGGCAAATGGAGAAGTTGTGGAGTTCACAGCGGATTCACGTGTTGTCCTGAAGACTTCTGGAACTGAATGCGCGCAATATAACTTGTGCCAGGTAAGGAGTGTATGAAGATGTTCTGAGTTGCGTGCCATGACACCACAGAAGTGGAATACTTACACAGTCTCCTTGCTGCGTGCAGGAGCATACGCTATCGAGTGTAGCAGGTATGATCACGGGGCACTGCAAAGCAGTGTCCTGAGGCCTGAATCGTGCTCAGAAGGACAAGAAAAGGCGACCTGTAGCCGTTACTCACTCCAGCGCCTTTCGCCGCCACCGTGCAGCGCTTGCTCAGTCCTATTGATCACAGGTGCGACGGAAACTCCATCCACTCCACCTCCCTCCCGGTCAGAAACACATGTTGTGGCCAAGCCGGTGGCCTCTTTAGTAGCGTCCTTGCGCCTAGTAGCGATGCCCTTTGTTCCTAGTAGCGAACATTGCTCCTAGTAGTAAGGCCAGGAGCCCCTAGTAGCGTCCTTGCTCCAAGCCGCCGGATTTGCTTGTTGCCTTCGAGAAGTCCATGCCTTTGTGCGACCACACGCCGACGTCGCTGCGATCAGCACCATGGCTCATGTCACGAGCAACCGCGACCCGCTGTTCAATATTGATGCCACTTCTTTGCGTCTCTGCACCTGCGAGCTGGCTTGTAGTTTCTGCAGCGTTGCAGTTGACTTCAGGCGTCAAGCAGCGCTTTTCCCGAAGCCTTGTCTTCCAAGATGTTTGAAGCATATTTCTGATTCCATCGCATTCTGTTATCGTGAATTGTGGGCCACTTCGCTAAATTAATGGTGGAGGCATATTTACATCCCCAGAGCCTCCTTTTCTACTTTTCTTGCATCAGCGCCGTTGTGTGTCCTGTCGAGTGCCTGCGCCATGCCCGACTCCGGCTGGGTCGAAAGAAGACACGTCTACAAGGGGTGTAGTAGGTGTTGCTGGCAGAAAGAGGTTGTGGCATGTATAAGCCAGTCGGGCTCTGGCAAGAGGATCAATTCTTTTGAACTGAAGCGAGAGTGTGCGGCCTGGCCCGCTGGCCGCCCTTCCAACTTTTTGGTTCTTCCTTTACAACTCTCCAATCCTGGTACTGTACTACTGTAATGAATGTGGCGACATCCAGCCCTTTCTTCATAAAACAATTACGACAGCAACAAAGCGCTACGCAACAGAGGGAAGGAGTCTAAGAGTCTAAGATTATGATCCCCCACGTGAGATGCAAATCAAGAAGCTAAAATGAAGATAGCTGGAGGGTTTGTGTGCATAGTGCTGATGTCATCACTTGTGCGGGCGAAGCTTTATACGTGGTATGTGCCCAAGATGCAAAGCGTTGCTGAGAACAACTGTTCAGGTCTTGCCATACTTCGATGTGGTGTTGCAGTACAGTTTGCCTTTTTTTGGCATACTTGGTCCCAAGTTGAGATAAGATGTGATGCGACGATGTCATGTTAACAGAAAGTCAGCAGCGCCGCTGCGTGCTGATCATTGATTGCATCTCCGTCTCCATGAGCAGTTCCAATTCATTTTTTTGGTGTGCGACTTGGCACTTGCTCCTTGCAGGCCCTCTTTGTGCTAAGTCTTTTGGTGGTTTGTCTACTTGTGCTGTCCAGGTGCAGTTTCGGGCACAGTTCTCACCATCGCCCGTCTCTTCCGTTCCGCGGCCCACGATGTGGTCACGTTCCGCGGCTCACGGTTGGCAACCTCAACGTGCCCGCTTCCACTGCTTCCAGCGGTCGATGAGCTTCTCCTCGCTTCGCCGCTTCGCCATCTGCCACTGTGGGCTCTCGCACTGTCGCCGCCGGCCGCTGCCGCGGCGCCCGCGGATCCCGCGGCTTCGGGCCACGAGATCGCAGCAGCCCTTTGGCGGGACTACTGAGGCAATGTCGATTGGTTTCCAACGTCCCTATCCTCACCCCGGTGACATCCGGTTACTGGGTGCCCCCGGTCCTCGAAAGAGTTGACCACGAAGAAGAACCTGGCGACGTGGGACGTCACCAGCTTTGTTAGGATCAACCGACGTCACAGTGCTTGTCATGAAACGGCAGCCCACAGCTTGCGACTGCTGTGGGTGATCTATCCGATATGTCACCATCAAAACGGTTGCGCTCCACGTGCTCACCGGCGCGGCCTCCATTTCGCAAAGTGTCAACTCACGTTACAAACTTCGCCGATTTGAACTGCGATTCCTGAGGTACCACCAGGCGGGAATGTCCACCCATTATGGTGGCATTTCAGAACCTCGTGGTAGCATCTAGCGGCACATACAGGCTGCTGATTCTTGGCTTGCGAGACAGCTTCTGGCTTTCACCTTCGACCCCGTCACTTCACATGTTCCTGGGAATGTCATTTGCGCACTGGACCCCACCAAGTTTGGCAATGACGGCAGGTTTAGGTTTTGCATCCAGTTGCCAAGCCAAACTCCGCCCTCTGCAGTTGGCAGCACGTATCCACTTCCTATAGGGGGCGTGGGCTATGTTTTGAACATCATTGTCAACAAGTCTTCCAGGAAAACTTCCGGCCCGTCTCTGCATTCTTGTGTTGAGACACATCATTGATTGACCATTGGATGGTTTCTTAGGGCAGGACCTGTGGTAGGGCAAAGCGGAAATCACGTCCACGATGATGCTAGTAAACTTTGAAAGCGAAGTGTTAAATAACGAGTATGTTTTTCATATCCTTGCCTCTCCTGGTATATAATTGTGGCATGCCTGGGGACTGTGCGTGCGCTGTGCTTGGGACTTTGCTTTGCATATCAGGCATTTATACGGTCAGCTCAAACAAAACCGGAAAAACAAAACAAAACAATCAACCAATGGACAGGCCTGGGACGCCTGGTGTTGGGTAACTAGTGTTATTTATCGTGTTTCTGAAACGCCAGCCGGTGGGCAGGCTGAAGTTAGTTTCTCTAAAGGGGGGGCAGACTGTGCCAATTGTTCCCAAACCCAGCAAACTTAATGGTGTCAGCAAATGTTAGCAAGTTTTGGTGGAGGCCATTTTGAGTGACTTGGTTATGCAGGATCTTAGCGGTAATTTGCCAGGTAGACAGGAGAAAAGAGAAAACACATGGGCAACAAAACGGACCAGATGTGCTTGATTTCTGCGAACGGAGTGAGTTATAAGGGGTGGTGGGCAGATGATGCTAATGGTTTCTAAACCGTCCAATTTAAATTGTGCTTCTGGGTTTTTCAGTGGAGGCCGTTGTGGGTGAGTTGGTGATGCGAAACATGCGAGTTTTGATCGTAGATAGATTGACATACGCAAAAGATGAGAACATGAAGAAACGCATCTACGCGCGACGAAAAGATCGGAAGACCAATTGTCCAGATCCATGAGGGTTCATCAACCCGAGCACGACCTTGCTCAAGGGGTCCGTTGAGAAAATCAACCACTTTCAAAGTTCCTTCAAGATTCGCAACGAACAGGCGCGGTGACAGAAAAAGAAGGTGGTGCAGCAGTCAACAGAAAAGTTGCCCAACTTCAGGAGCACGGGTAACCTATGAAAACGGTGACCCGTCTTCGGAGCGGAGTTAGCGGTCATCTGAACTGGATTTGAGCTGGTCTTCCCAATGTGTCGTGTGCCTGTGGAGACGCGTTACGCCCCCAACTATACTGCTGGTGAAACGCGGCCTTACCAGCCCGTTGCCAATCAGATAGAGGCCCGCCAGCTTCCACAACTTGGCGTCCACCTAACCTTCGCTTTCAGATTCCGGCGTGTGTGTCCGTGATGTTTTCTGGCGAAAGAGGAAGCCGGTCATAATGTTGGCATGTTGGCGGGTTAGCATCCCAGAAGTGTACGTTCCCATTGCAAGGTTCCTTGGCGTATTATGTTGTTGGCTTCAGGGGCGCCTTCCAGTCCCCGTGTGTTTTAATAAAACTTTTGCGACTTGCGAATTGGGGCAGCGAGCAGCAATGATGTGTGATGGAGGCTCCTTGGGCACCGGCCCGCTTGAAAGCGCCAAAACCAGAATACAAACATCAACAACGTTCAAAGCAGGATACACAGGCGAGGGCCAGCTTTCTGTCATAGCTGCGCTGGGGCAATTGTTCTGTTTTGTGTGGGGCGCCGCAAGGTACACCAAGGAGCTGGGCAAGCGCCAGTGGACAACACGTTGGGGTGGCTGCGACAAATTTGTGCGGACACAAAAATTATAGTCGGACGTATGCCAAAAAATCAATGTCCGATCTCATGAAGAAATGGATTGTTTGACCAGTGTTTGGTCCACAACTCCTATCTCATAAAACATAGCACGGGAAAACCGGAACGCTTATGAGTTTGCTTTCACACAAATATGGGTTTGTATTTTTTTGGCGTGTACTTCCTGATGTAGTGGTTGGAAGTTCGACTTGAGCGATTCATACCCTCGAATCATACCTCGAATTATACCCCCGAATCATACCCCTCAAAACGTTACACGTAAGAACCAGGTGTTAAGGTGAAGTTTTTGGTTGGTCTTTGTGCCTTGTAGATGTCCACGAGCCAATGGTGCATGACGTTTGCAATTGTGTGATTCTTGGGCACTCAATTTGGCCAAAATTGTTTGTGTCTTCTTGTGGGACGAGCAAAGGCTCACATCCCAGGGGTACTCATAATGTTCCCATGTGCTCTCCCTTGAGAAGAAGAGCCGAAGGACCGCCTTCTTTTGCAGAATCTAATGGCCATACGAATCACACCCGATTCATGCCCGATTCATACCCGAATCATGCACCTCCACACAGTCTCCCACCCATCCCACATCCTGGTTGCTTTGGTGGGGCCTGCAAAGGGCCACTGGAGTCTTTGGTGGAAGAGTGCATTTGCCTAGTCTGCCCAGCATCCAACAGATGCTGATTGCCTACTGCCTCGGCGCAGAGTGGGCCCACTGCTGGAAGTCCAGCTAATCCAACAATACAACTTCAAAGCTGCGAATCATCTGCGAATCATACCCTCGAATCATACCCCCGAATCATACCCCGAATCATACCCTCGAATCATACCACCTGTTCAAACTTCCCGGCCCGACTACGGTAAAAAAATGCACACCCATATGGTGCGCCCAGGGCATGTGCGGCCGGATGCCAACACATGAGATAGGATTTGTCCTAACATGTCCTTGGATGTCTGTGGATGGCTGAAAGTATGGTTGTTTAGACGTGAGACAGGAGGTGACTTTTTCACAATTGGTGTATCCCTGTGACAGATTCAGGGGGGTTAGCCGTTTTAGAACCTGGTGTGTCCGCAGGTGTGCATGCAGCATGAATTGGGACTTGTTGGCATTCTATGTCACTCCTGTCCATTTGGCTGTTCTGAAATGGTGGGGGTTCCATTTGTCCTCATGAGGTCGGCTTTGTCACGAAAGCTAGCACCAGCTAGCTGGAGTTGTTTTTGCTTTAGCACGTGAGGGGCTGGAATCCTCCCACCAGTCCGGATGCACCCCTGCTAGCTTTCGTCACCAACCCTCGGCTTCAAGTGTTGCACAATTCCTAACTCAACCGTCCTAACCCACCTGTAGGTAGTACAGAACAAGTTCATGATGTCAGAGTATATGCTATGAATGATTGGTGGTGTGATGACGTGTAAACGTCTCTTTGCATGTAGTCAGCGTATGGGCACGCGTATATTGGGCAACACCCATCAGTCCAATGCGATAGTAAAGTGTGCTCAGGCCGAGCTGTCGTAGCACGTGCACACACACACACACACACGCACACTTATCGTTCATCGTCAACCCGGCAGGAGAGAACCCGACAATTGCAACCACTCCCGCCACCCAACGGCAAACCCAACTGGCCAATTCCACACAGCCGCGAGGTGTTGTGGCCGCAGCCATCAACCCAGCCTTTGGTGGCACCTGGCCACCAGGCTGCGCGTGAATTGGCTACGCATTCGTGCCGCACATCAGGCTCCAAGATTTGCCCACGGTCGCAGTCAACATGACCACTTGCAAAAAATCATTAAGATCACTAAGTGGTTCGGGCGCAACCGGGCACATTGACAGCCATGAGAACACGGATTCAAGAGGGACACTGGTCAGGCCGTGGTTGAGACGACGCAAACACAGTCAGACAAGTTCTCGGGGCCAGGCCAGAATGAGCGAATTTACGAAGCTAGGAATTTTGGTGCGCTGGTGTATGACAATTACAACATGACGAAGTGGATGTGGACGATCCTAAATGCTTCACGTGGCAGGCGCGGTACCTTGGAGCCTGTAATGCGATGTTTCGTGGCAGGCGCAGGATTCGGTCGCTTCAGATGGTTGATTCCTCGCGCTCGCCATGCAGTTGCATGCAGTTGCTTGACAGTCAACACACAGTCAACACGACAGCCAACACGCAAGCAACACAACAGTCAACACGAACATTGTTCCTGAGAATTCTCAGCCGAAGCCCCAACTCCAGTCTTAGATTGAGAATTTTAAGGTTTCCCCACGCAACGCGCGTTTTGCTTGAGAATTCTCGGGAAAAGTGCTCGTGCTGACTTCAGCTGCGTCGCAGCTATATAATGTATAACGGGTTCCAAACACGGCAACGAAGAAGGCGTGGAAAGGTGGCCCTTAGCATTTACTTTTGTGTGGTGTTGTCAGAGGTTGTATTGACAGGTTCTAGACATGCCAACAGTAGAGGCTGCGAAAAAAGACGTGGAGAGGTGGACCTTAGCATCCACCTTTGCGGGGTTGTCACAGGTTGTGTTGACTATTGGTACACCATGATGCCGATCAACGTTCGAAAAACATTTCCCCAGTTGCATCAAAAACCAGCCTTCAAGTCAAAAAAAAATATTGTTGAGCCCCCCCTATCCCTCCAGCTCAATGTTGCTGATTGACATGTACCAACCTGAATGGCAATTTTTTTGTGAAGGCCGCTGATACCGAACCTGACGGGTGCAAGGGACTCTGGCGATGGTTTTTTTGAAGAGCCCGTTATCAAACCAAACCTGCCAGCAAATGCCCGTGACCACTTTGCAGGTTCGGCCTTCCAGCGTTGGTTGGATTGGAAAAATGTGTCGCATGCACCGAATGCAATTGCGTCCCTGCGACCTGGCGCTGGTGCCATCGTTGCTTTTGTATTTATTAACTTTTGCCGTAAACACGCATCGTCCATTTAAGTTCAGGCTGCAGTGCCGAAAGTCTGTTGTTGAAAACGAAGGACGGCTTATTGCACTGAAGGTCGAAATTGCGCTGGGAATGTGGCATCGGGGATGCCGCGTCACAGTGTTTAGGGATGTGACGCTGCAATGTGGCGCAGCGTGAAGCATCAAAGCGCTACACCATTTGCAGCCACCTTGAGTAACATGCTGGGATATAGGGGAACGTAGGAGGAGGCAAGAAACATTAGAATTGCACTCCGGGTGGGAATTTATAGTGCAGAATGGGGGGCCTGGGGCGCAAGAAAGGGATATATATATATATGTATATACAATTTTTATCAATTTTTTGTTTTATAACATATTTGTTTTACACCAGGTTGTTTTCAGAACCATGTTAGGTTTTGGAATATTGTTTGGACTTGATTGGGCTAACAATTTTATAGATGATTTTTTTGGGTCCTCCAAGAGCATGCAAATGTTTGCATGTCCCCGTTGTATAGAGGATTCATTTTTCGGACTTGAGGCGGCATACATTCGGGAAATGTCAGCATCTGGAATCGGTTCGGGGTGTACAAAGATTTTAACGGGAAAGGTGTCTTGTTTTTCAGCCAAGCCAGTATCTAAAAACAATGATGCACGCCACCCCACTCAATACTTTCATGTATTGCCCAATGCCTTCGGTTTGCTTGGCTGCAACTTCTCAACCGCCCATTTTTTTTTGAAACTTCGCGTCGTCCTTTTTCCATCGACATTTCCTTGATCTCCTCATTCCACCGGACGCCATTGTTGAACATCACATAAAACCATATAGAACAAACTAAACCAACTGGGCGTTTTCCAGAGCACGTTTATCCCGTGAAGCTTCTATAAAATGGAAGGCGTTGCTTGGATTTGCTAAGTCCACGCAAAGTTGCAATACCTACAAGCTGTACTAAGGAATTCTAGGGGAGCCTACGCCAGTTTGGACGGTTATATGGGTATTTGGAAAAGTATGGGGAACATGTTTGGAACAATTTGGGTAGTCAAGGAGCATCTATGGAAACTCTATTTTAATGACGCACAATTGTGCGCAGCCCTCATGGAGCCTATTTTATAGAGATTGAGGACCTCCACTTCACAAAGGCTTACATAGAGACATGTGGAGACATTATTCGATTGGTTTAGAATTCATTGTTTTGTCTCAAATTTTTTGAAGTAGAAAACAACTGGATTTTTCAGAACATGTTTATCCCGTCAAATCTCTATGAAATGGCAATTTTTTTAATCCGAAGGTCACATCTCTATAACATGGCGCCCTTCAAAAACTACAAACCATTGGTTTTGCTCGATGGACAATTTGCAATTTTGCTGAACCATTCTTTAGACGATTTTCAGAGGGCCTTGTAAAAATAGACCATTGTCAAAATCTACCCTCGGGGTCACCGTTCTGTATACATGTGCTTTTGTGGAGTGCGCCCTGCCGAATTCATTTTGTAGAGGGTGCACCCCCCTGAAAAACAAAAAACCCAAAGTTATAGGTGTAGAATGGGGCCCCAGGGTTGAGGTTGAATTCCACGGCGGATGCATCACATTTAGGCCCAGGAGGATTCCAGAATGATGATGGTGGTGGCGGTGGGGGGCCTCCTAATGTATAAGTTGCATGTTTTGGGTGACGAAAATGTTCAGGTTAGGCGGATGAGTGTGTCCATGGATCGAATTGCGCGTTGATCTGACGAAACAAGAAAACATACAAGATGGAACCCACGAACCTGAATGCAAACACGTGCTCGAAAACGAACGCTTAAAACAATAATGCTCAAACATTTCTTGACACTTTTAAAGGGGACCCTCTTGTAGAACACTTTTGTGGGACACTCTCGTGCCACACTTTCGTCATTTGTGCGGAAACATTCCTTTAAGACACCCTCGTAGGACACTCTTGGGACACTCTTGCGGGACATTCTTGTGGGACACTCACGTACGACACTCGCGTACTCAGATGTAATTTGGCAACATAAGTTGACAGTTCTCAGGCCGCAGTTCCCAGAAACTGCTTCCCGTACGTTCTACAGTGCTACCAAGGCGCCAGTTCTGAGGCCACGACAAAAGTTGCCACGAACCAGAAACCGATTCCCGTACTGCACTTCTACTACCAAGTGGCTGCCAGGAGCTGCTTCCCACATTCCACTCTTGCTACAAGTTACCACTCCTGAGGGACACTCTTGCGGGACACACTTGTATGGCAATCTTGTGAGGCACTCTTGTAGGAAACTCTTTGAGGACCCTTGAGGAACACTTTTGGGGGACACTTTTGTATGACACCTTGTTCGGAAATTCTAGCGAGACACTGTTCTGGGACACTTTTGTAGGACACTTCCATAGGACACTATTGTGGGACACCCTTGTAGGACACTCTTGGTGGACAGTCTTGTAGGACACTCTTGTCGGCCACTCTCTCTCCGCCATTTGAGTTGACACTTGTCACGACAACACGGCTCCGAAGCAACAGCCTGAAACGCAAATCCCAATGTCTCACAGCCACATCCATTACCCCAAAGACACCACCCCCCAAACGCCAATCCCAATGTGACCGCGCAGACAACTGCGGATGTCATCCTCCACACTTTATCCTCTCAGCCTTCCACACTTGTAGCTACTTGTTAGCTGGCGCATGTTATTGCAGCTACTTCAGTTTTGCGTGCCATGCGGCAGTTTCCTTAGCACGCAATGCTGCAATGATTCGGGTGGGCACTCCCAGGCACTCACATTCGCAGAGAAAATGGAAAGACAATTGACGTTGATTGCCGAAAAGCAACAACAAACCAGCACAAACCCAAATCGTTTCCATAGCGTGAGCGGTTGCAAACATGTCTACGTTTCATGACGTTGAGCCATGCGTCGGCTGCATGTGAGAATGCAGTGGAAGCAACTTGGTGTGGAACAGCCAAAGGCGTTTTGTATTTCACGACTGCAACAAGTTTCATGGTTGGAAGCACAACACGGCAAACATATGCTAAAATTAACTTTTGACGCGACATGTTGGATGTGCTTGGCTGAGGCAACTGTTGGCACGTCGCGCGCCTGTGGTACGATTCAAAATGAAAGTTTTTTGCCCTGAGTGCGGCCTTCGAGTGCAGCCGAGCGATGTGGGAGAGGTCCGGGAGATGCGAGATGTTTGCAAGACAATGTGGCGAAAATTCATGCAGCACCTCGTCATTTTATGGAGGAACCGACTTCATCACGTTTGCAATTGGGTTGGGCAATCGGTAAAGAGTAAAATTACGAACGAAAACGGAACGGAGGTGTCATATTGTTGAAAAGTATTGGTGGTTTGTTGCATGGATTTGTACATCGCTGTGTGCGAATAGTCCGCGGTGCTTTTGGGTTCTAACATGTTGTTGCTGCACCTGTTGCATCTTGAGGTTGGACGACCGACATTGCCCTCTGTTCCGCACCTGTGAAGTCAGCGACCTTAACGATCCGTCTGTCAATGAAGAACGTGAAGGCGGTCGCCGAGTTCCACCGAGCCTTTGGCGTCCCATGCCACGGCTCAAAGGCCGCTCATGACGAGGCCAATTTGCGCCGTGATGCGCCACAGGGTGGGCCTTGCGCCACGGGCGCCTTGCGTGGAACACGCTGGAAGTGGCACCTGACAGCAGCTGGATGGGAGTCGTGACGTGAAAAGTGGAGTTGCACAAGTGTGTGATTAGTTAGTTCGAACACACTAAGTATTCCCACTATATAATTGTAAGTGATGCCAAGGCTAGAATTCAATAGAACTCATAAGTAGCGATATTGGCATTTGCCAACCAGGAAGTGAAGTTGAGAAAGACTTGCGTGGCAATTTGCAGAACGATGGTGCCCCATTAAATGATAATCGTGTATTGTTGGCATTCGCCAGCTATTGGTAAACTGACTGCACGGAGTGGAGTTGAGGGAAGTTGATGCAATGATTCAATTGAAACCAAGATAGGTTCATAGGAAGTGTTGGACTCGGTAAATTTTAAGTGTCCACGGTGCTTCTTGCATTTTTGGCTCAGGGTCAGTGCAGCCAATGGCCACACATGAACAAGTGCCACCGGGGAACGAAGGATTTCCACACGATTGCATTCCTCTGCCAATAACGGCCATGAAAAAGTTCGTTGATTTTTTGCTCCATTGTTATCTTGGATTTTCTGATGAACGACATGACTTGTACCCTTGTTTTCTCACCGGATTTGTTCATAAACCGTGTCTTTTCATATCTAATTCAAGTCTGAAGTAGATCAAGTAGGGTCAGGCGATTCAAGTGTCATTTACGAGCTGAATATGGCGGCAGTGGCCACTTGATTGGCAGCGCTGATGGGGGAAGGTAGCAAGCGCCGGCGGCTCAAGTCTATGCGTAGTCCATGGTGTAATTTTGCCAGGTCCTTGCACCTTCTAAGTCTGTCTCAGATTCCTTTCGGATTGGTTTTGTATTTAATGCAGATGTTTTCCTACGCTACTGCTTCTCCAGTTTCGCAGGGCTGGTGCAATCACAACTCATGTGTGTGCCACTAGGTCCAGCAGAGGAAACTCAGGCTGGTAGTGATGCAATGTGAAACCAGCAGGAAGTCATGTGAAAGCTCATGTCATGATTCCCACCGTGACGACAGAAGACAAAAAATAATTTTTCGTTAGGCAGATGCTGACGCTGCGGTTGAAACGGCTTTGTCCAAACCAGAGTCCAGACCCCGAAAGCGGAGGACGGTGTGCTTGTTCACTGTTTTTTGCTTGGCGGCGTCGGCCGAAATCGCCACGGCTCCAGGAGTGGTTGGGATGACGTGGGCGACGGCACTCAGGCCAGTCACGGGCGACATGGGTAGCGGGTAGCATTGTATTACCAAATCATGCCCTAACCAAGTGCCAATGCAGAAACCTTTCAGATCCTTTCGAGTTGAAAGGACTTTCATTGGCACATTGGACATGTTGTAGCGTAGAGTAGGATTCAAGAGCGAAACGCTATATAGTGACCGACTCCAATACTGAACCGAAGCAATTGCATACACGTCATCAGTAGTAATCAACGCTAAGAAAGATTATGTGATGGTGCTTGAGAGCTCGGAATCCAACTCTTGTTCAGCTGCAGGCTGTGGCAGCTGCACCCTTGACAGTTCCAATGTCAGTCCCTCCTGGCGCGGCAGTGGTGGAGTTCAAGGCGACGTGCTGCGACACAAGACGCAGCAGAGAGGACGTTGAGCAAGGACGAATCCTGAGTGGACCATTTGTCTGTCAAAACAAGTCCTTGGCACAAGTCTTCGACCAGACCATGTATCGGTGGCATTTTGGTGTATGCCAGATTTGGCCAGTAAAAAGTACTAAGGGTGCAGCACTAAGGGTGGCATAGGGTGCACTAGGCGCATACCGTATACCATGTTTGGTGTTAATTGCATTGCGAGCTTGTCATTGATGCCCGGGGTTTGATTACGTTCTGTACATTGGTGCACTTGTTCACTTCAATTACTGTAGTGGGTTGACGTGAATCTGGTAGAAGTTCCATCTCCATGTTTCGCCAGGTGGATCAGGGCGTTGTTGGTCTGGACCCTAAATCTGTGATGCCATGAGGGGCACAGGGTTGAAGAAAGGTTGTCAAGAAGATGCATCTGAGCATTTGGAATTGTTCTGGAACTCGCTACGAAGCTCATTCTAAACATTTCTGGGATTCGCACCACTTGCAATCATGGCTTGAGTTGGCACAGAACAACTTCAATTGATGCCTGAACACTATGTTGAGCACGCCCCACATTGCAATACAGTGTGCTCCTAATCTTCATCACAGAACACGGCTCTTGCAAGTCGACACTGCAATGATGTGGATCTCTGTTCAGTTTCTGGCTGTTTTCATCTCCATGTCTCCATGTGGCCGAAACAACGAGTTGCTCGTGTTTAATTTGTGCTTTGTATCGGTTTTCCTGAGGATTTCTGATCGGCAAAGGAGGCGAGACCTTGCGCTCCATGGAGGTCAGCAGCACTGCCACCATCAAAATCGATCAGAGTACTAAGGTGCCAGCCTCAACAACCTCAGCGACCCGGATCCGTCGAAAGAACGCCGACACGGATCCGTCGCACGAATCAACCGCAGAAGAAATTTCAGAAACAGATCAGCAAGAGAGCCGGGACACGATGAACAAAACGGGATTAATGTCAGCAAGGTTATAAGGGAACGGGTCACGAAAATAGAAAGTCATATTGCTAGTGCATTCAACTTGTGCAACTGATAATAGTTCACCGGAACGAATCAAAAACACACAGCTGCTCTATGAGCTGAGCAGAGGGCTATGTAGCTGAGGAGATGGGCTACAGCATGGTGCGGATCACGGGCTCTCAGCAGGCGGTGAGCTTTCTTGCCGAGTTCAACACGAATCTTTCACTGACTCGACATGGAAACATGCAATGTCTAAGCCCCTATGATTACTAAGCACCTCCAGGTTTCCCCTCTGAAACTCTACAGTGCCAACTTTCCAGATTGACTTCATTTTGCATAGCTTTGAGGCTGTCGCCGTAGCCAAAGCTTTGTGTGATGGCCGCGTGAATGAGAAGCGTGGCCACAATGCACATCGCGGAGTCCAGCCCGGAGGAGTATCATTTGAGTGAAGTCCCACGTAGTTCGCACTCGCAAGGGATAGGATTTTTTACACTTTTTTTTCTTGAAAGAGGTGTTGCCCGTTTTAAGGTCATTCCCTGGTTGAAGGCAAGTTTGATTGGGGTCTTGAAAAAAGACCTGCGTTCAATGAGGTGAAGATGAACACATGCCACCGGCAATTGTACAATTGTACAGTTTATCTAATAAAATTTACGAAGCCCTGCCCACTTGGAAACTGCCTTTTCCATTGATATTTGCATATGCCAATTGGTGAGGGTTTTGTCCATTGAGGGAAAGATGTAGGAGGAGGCCACAAGAGCGTGTGGTGTACTCGCATGAAGTGATGTCAGTCGAGAAAGCATGCAAGTGATGTCAGCCTCGAAGGAATCCTTAAGCTGACTCACTGACATTGAAGTGGAACATAGAATTCAGTTTTTGATGACGACGACGACGATGACGACGACTACTCCTCCTCCTGCTGCTTGCTGCTGCTGCTCCTGCTCCTACTACTGCTCCTACTGCTACTGCTACTTCCGTTGGCAAACTGGGGGTCTTCCACTTCCATGTTATTTTCCGGGAGTCCCGTTCTCGTGTGGACGTGACGCGTACCGTAAGCACACCATCTGACGCGCGACACCTGTGCGAGCACCAGGAGCACAGCCCTTTGGAGCCGGAGGAGCCGGAGGACCCAGAACGGCAGTTCAGATGGAGGAGCATGGGCAAGATTCGTGCCTTCATGTTTCTTCATATTTAAAAATGCAGTTTGCATTCTGGCACCTATTCAAAAGCAACTGTGGATGTGCATCCTGCAAGGTCTCCGATTCAGGCAATGTAGGCAGGAAGGAGACAGCAACATCCCCACAATTTTCAAAATATTTGATCGGTGTGGTGTGCTTCATGAATTGAAACTATATAGTCACTTGTGCTACAAGTTGAAGTCAGATTGCGTCCATCGCACATTCATCATGACCAGTGACCAATTCTGATACAGTGATCCGCTTCTTTGTGCAGGCTGGGAAACTCAAATTGACCAGCCTGCATCCTAGATTCTCTCAAGGGAAAGCGGTATGATTGGGAACTGGCGGCAGCTTTCAGCAGAGCACAACACAGTTTTGTGTGCACAGTTTGCATGGGCAAGATGTTTGGAGAATATCATTGCAAGTCAGCAGGTCTAATGTGGGATTCTTCATTGGCAAGCAGGGGGAGTACATCAAGCGGATACAGGACGAAACCTGGAGCTGTAAAGCACCCTGTTAGCCTCTGGCACGCGTGTGAAGAAGGAAGTAAGACCTCATCAGACTTCATATGTGATTTGAGTGACGGCAGGCCCAAACTGGTGCCACTGTGGTCGGGACCCAAGCTGGAGCACTGGGGTGTGGCAAAGACTCCCAGTCATGTCAGCCCGGCTGCTCCATTCCGGTTGCGGGCCGGATATGCTGAATGTTGTATGTAATTATGAACATATATATATATATGACATGTTTGTATATATATATATATCTATGATTGTGCATGCTTGTATTGTGATATCTGGTTTTTAAGGTCATTGATCAAGAGACCAAAGAGTATGGGTCAGGAACCAAGAGCAACAAGCCGGAGGTGTTTGTGACATTGTGACATTGTGACATGTCATGACACACAGCCTTACCCAACTACACAGCACGACAGCAAACCTAAAACGGACCAAGTCATATTGCTACAACATGGCTATATAATGGGGTTCTTAACATCTATGTCAGACCCAAGATGTTCAGGTACAGCATGATCCGCATCATGGACGGGAACTGATCTCAGTAGACTGATACACAATCTGCCGCAAATCATGGAAACGCAGAAAGGACATGTGACGAATCTTGTCATTGTTGGCTTCAAACGTCTTAAAACGTGCTGATTTCACAATTTCACATTGTCAGGCCAGGTTTGAGAGAAGCCTCAGAAATGGTGAAGTACAGGCGCACTCGGTGCAAATAGACAACTGTGAAACCCGTGAAACCCGTGAAGCGCACCGTGCTATCCTAAAGAAAGCGCGCGGTCGTCTATCGGATCGACCGCGGACATGCAGAGTGTCAAATCGCACATGAGACTCCAACGATTCATTCTGAACACATCGCAAAATGCAAGGCGGCATGTTGAAACTCCAGATTTGCAAAGAACCCCAATCACAACTCACAACATGACAACGTCAGTGATCGGTTGAGCGGAGATTGAATTTGTGAATTCGTTTCTTACTTCATGTTTGTGATTAGCATGTTTCAATGGCAGTCTAACTATGCATTTTTTGCAACTGTGTAGAGGTGCGAGTGTCAGTATGCACTACAGATGGGTACAGAGCTGTCAAGGCTGACAGCAATGTGCTGGTGCTGCACGGTGCTGCAAGGGCACTGCTTGGCTCAGGGGGCTGCGGGTGTTTCCCTGAAGAGCTGTGGGTTGGGCCTAGTGCCGTCGGTCCACGGGAGTGAGGTGAATGTGCGGTCTGGGGTGGTGCAGAAGAGCACACATGCGTGAGAAACCGAACTGAAAGGACCTCAGATGCATGGTCGTTCGGCATGTTCTGCAAGATGCGATGCTTCTGGGGGGCAGTGCTGAAGTTGTTTGTCTTAGGGTTAGAGGCGCAAGCAGACGTCTTATTCTTCCAACGTTCAATGCTGTCCAGGCTGGATCAAGTCAAGGAAGCTGCGGTGCAAAGAGCTCCAGCAGGCCACTGGGCCAGTTCCGCAGCTTCAAACGACAGCAGTCCTGTTGCGCTTTTTGTGCCGAGAGAAGACGCACAAGATGTTTCTGAACTCATACATGAGAGAAGCAACCAATGCAACAGCACACTCCTACCTGAGTTGAACTCAGATGTGCACTTACCTACTTCGTGTGAATGTTTTCAGACTGCAGAGTGATACGTGTGTGGCGGCATGTCTGATCCCCTGAAGCCAGTCACTGAGACAAGACCAGTAACTGAGGTGAATATGAGGAGCTTAGTATTGCTCAAGGACAAGTGGGTGCGATCATCGGTAAGGGTGGTGAGACCCTTCGACAGATCAAGGCTGAAAGTGGAGCCATCATCGTGTTAAGCCAAGAGACGAAAGGCCAGGGCTTTAGCACGGTGCGCTTTGCCGGGAACTTCGAACAAGTGGCCAAAGCCAAAGAATTGGTGCAGATCCGACTGGCCGAGCGCGAGCAACAGCAGAGCCAAGGTTGGGGCTGCCAAGGTGGGTCCAACCAATGGACCGGTGGTAACTGTGGTTGGGGCTATGGCAACGATTGGGAGGTAAACCCACCTCCACCCAAAGGGAACGGCAAAGGCTGGGGTGGAGAGGCTTGGAATGGTGGCTGTGGTGCCTGTGGCAGCTGTGGCAGCTGTGGCAGTTGTGGCGGTTGTAGTGGTTGTGGCGGTTGTGGTGGCTGCGGTCCTGGACCGCCAGGTGGTTGTGCATGTGGAGATGGCTGCCAGGGCGGGTGTCTCGGCTGTCCCAGTTGTGGTCCCGGGGCGCCCATCGGTGGTGACTATGAGCCGAGTGGACCCTGCGCCCATGCAGCGGGTGGACTCCAACCTATGGCGCCAATGCAGCCCATGCAATCGGGGATGCAAAATGGGATGCCACCGATGCAGGGCATGCAACAAGGGATGCAGCCAGGAATGCAACCCATGCAGCAAGCACAGTTTTCGCAACCCATGCAACCCATGCAACAGATGCAGCCCATGCAACAGCCAATGATGCAGCCTATGCAGCAGCCGATGCAACAGCCAATGCTACAGCAACCAATGCAACAACTGCAGCAACCACAACTTCAGCAGCCCATGCAGCAACCGATGCAGTTTCAATCGCAGCCATTCCAACAGCAGCCTATGATGCAACAATCGCTTTCGCTCCAACCTTCTATGCAACCCATGCAGCCCATGCAACCTCTTCAATACCAAGGAGCCCAAGTGGGAGCGTACCCACAGCAACCGCAGCCACAGCAGCCGGGACTCTACGGGTGCTGAGACGCAAATGGAGATGCGTAGCGTAGTGCAGAAAAAGTGCGGCCCTTCATTTGGAGCAGCCCGGAGCTGCGCAAAGCCTTGAAACGGCGCACAGTTGTCCAAAGCTCCACGCTCGTAGGGACAAACTGTGGTGTTTGATTCGGTGTCATGGTGTCAAGATGATGGAAGGTTTAAAGCTCTAGGCTTTACAGCCTTTGAGGAGCTCTAGGCTTTATCACAAACATAATGGCTTTGTCCTCAAAGCATCTCAAAGCCATTATGACTTCTTGTGGTATCCCTCGCTGTTAGGACCCATTGCTGGAGCATGTTGAAGCTTCTACGATTTGCTTCTGTGATCTGGGCTCTAGCCATGAGGGAGCAGGTTTGATGCACATGAGAACGAACCATAGATTTCTTGTTTGACTCTGATGACAGGCGTTTTGCATGATCAAGCATTGTTGTGCCAAAGCGAGTTCGGAGCGTTTTGTTGAATAAGGCACTCAAAAAGAACGTTCCGAGATTCCGAGAGATGAATACTTGATCATGCTTGATCTGTATGTTGAGACGTATCTTCCATGGCTTTAGTTCTTACAGTAGATATTGTGGTGGCGTCGGTGGCTGGCTGTGAACCATGTGGGTAGCTCTTGGGCTGGGGGCACTTCAAGAAGCTATATGATACCAATTGACCTTGGTCACGTATTGTATTGTACAAGCGGTCACTCAGATCAGAAAATTCTGTGATTTCGACTGAAGCTGAGAAAGTCTCTGAACGTTTTTCTGTAGGTGCAGGCGCAGGTGGATACTGTGGCGAACAAGGTCCAACAAGGTCCCAGGGACTGTTTCACAGGATCTTGGGGGGGATGCTCTGTCTTTCTGAAATCTTTGTCTCGGTCTTTGGTGCTCCATTGGCTCTTGGACTCTGTGGCGGTGAAAAACATGGAATTTGCAGCATTTGCAGCAGTGCATTGTTATCATTTACCGCTATATAGTTATCACATACTTGTGTGAGGAACGCAGCAGGTGAAACACTGCAGCACATTGGGCCCGCAGTTGGCAAAACATATCTTTGACGCAAGCCTACAACTCGACAACTCTCGCAATCAGTTCTGGACAAGCTTGCAGTGAATTTTGGGTGGGAATGACATGCCATACTCATACTCTTGGTTGTGTGCTGGTTTCGCTTGTGCCAGAGACGCCCCGCCAAATTCATTGGTGCCGCGAGCAACCATGGCGGAAGCATCGAGGGACCTTGCACAGGGCACCATCGAGGTTGGAGCGGAGCGGCAAGAACCGGCACTGTCCACAGCTTGCACGCCCACTCGTCCACCCAAGCTGTTCAGGTGATGGTGTCCGAAAGTGTGTGTGCCAAAGAGCGAATGGAAGCAAGAGAGGCAACGCACGTATGACTTAAGCTGTATATGCTACTGTAACTTTTGCTTTTGCGTGTGTGTTTTTTTCCTTCTCCTTTGGCGTGAGGTAGAGGAGGCATACCAAAAGTTTGAAGAAAGCGAAGAACACATCAAGGTGCTTCAGATTGATTTGAGTGACGCAGTGATTTACTTGCAACTTGACAATGATTGTGCTGCCCTCATCAAACGTAATCCTTAATCCTAAGGGGGATTACGGATTACAAACTATCGGATTGTCCGGTTTTGGGCGGATTACGGATTAGAACCCAGAGCCCCCTGTTGAGACTAGGATTACGGATTATACTACTGACTAGCAACTTAGGACTTGTTGAACATATATGGCGAGTCCAAAACCTTGTGACACCAGGCTTGAACCAACATGGTCATGTTGCTGTTGAGTCCTATGTCATCAGGCCACAAAACCATCACATTCCATGGAAAAATAAAGCGTTCAGTGAAGATGGTTGATTTTTGGCTTCCAAAGGTCCTATGACACCAGGCGCAGATGACCTAGCCCTCCGGGTAGTCGTGTGGGTATGTCACTTGAACCACATTTGATCCGGCTGCGTCCAAATCGGGGTTGTGATCTAAATCCAGAGCCCCCAGTCGAATGGTTTTAGTCCCTTGCGTCCAATTCGGGGTTCTGAGGGTCCTTGCATGGCCTTATAATTACAAATCTACAGCCTTATTGTGGAGCCTAGATTCTTTCCATCCTACGGATTGTAAGGATTACGGATTATAAGGCTGGGTAAGGATTGCGGAATACAGCGGATTAAGGATTGTTCGGGTTAGAGACATTTTTCGGATTAGCCGGATTACGGATTAGTTTTGTTGGCGCGCTCATTTTGATGAGCCCAGTTGTGTAATGAGGGGTTGAAGTGTGATCGCGAACGTGCGCCGCTGGAGGAACTTTTGCAAAGAGGTGCAATTTCTTTGGATGAAGCACGCCGATTGCGGACCAGAGGCAAAATGCACGAACAAGAGGCCCTGCGGGCACTGCACATTTCTTTGCCTTGTGAGTTCCTTGTGCAACAAAGTTCCTTGTGACGCTTGTGGGGGTCGTGTTTCAATGGGAATTGCGCGAAGGACCAGGATGAGAAACCCAAGATTTCCAGCGCTGCAATGGCCTTAAGTACACTATAATGTATATCTACATACTTGAAAGTCAGCGCGCATTGTGGATCTCCACTGTGACTTTCAGGTTCTAGCAGGGGCAGACCACAAGACCAATGAGCAAATCATTGAAGAGGCACTGAAAACGAAGAAGCAAGCATGGTGACAAAGCTGCATTAGGCCAAAGTTTTTTGTATTTCTCCTGGCTGCTTTCTACCTTCCCCACAGACCTTTTCGTATTGGCTGAGGCTAATTGAGGCTTGCCGCAAAGCATTGAGGCACTTTCCGAATGCCAAGTCAGGCATCATATGCGATTACAGCGGTAGTTTCCGGTCCAGCATCGAGCTGCTCATAAAAGCTGATAGTTCGCGACTGCATCAGAAAGGATGAAGCATTAGAAATCACCAGAAAGAAAGGTACAATTGTTTTAATCGACGCAGCCGACCGTGGGGTCAAAAACATACAATATATAATTATATATTTATATGGACAGACGGTTCACCAGACAATTAGACATTTAAAACGTATAAAGCTGTGGCCCTCAGTAGCCGGGAAAGGCATTATTTGTCTTTTTGACTTTGCATAGCTTGAAAGGAAGGGACTTAGCTTAGATTCTAAGGGGTGGTTTTCCAATTAAGATGTCCCCAGCCTGGTCATTGATCGAAGTTTGAAAAGGAACTTCAACTTTGCCCTTCAGGTTGGACAAGCTGCAGAACAGAATCCAAATTGAAAAGCACAAGCGGAGCCTGCCGGAGTATCAGCACAAGCAGCTCTTCCAAACAAGTCCGTTTATAGTTGGCTTGGTCTCCGCTGCAAGCCCTCAGGTATCCATTCATTCATTCCATGGTGAAGAATGGCATGACCCTGGGCTGCCTTGGGCAACTGAAGCACACGAAATTGGATATGCTACTGCTACTTCTGTGTGTGCACGTGCTAGAAATGCATGCTGACATGCAATGTGTGATTCGTATTGACAGCACCTGGTTGTCAGATGGATTGAGAGCCATCCGATCTATCCCTTTTCTCCAGGACCTTCGAGCTGCTGACCTTTTTTCTAGTTGCGTGCAATGGTGTCCTTACTGGCGTGCAAATCTCGGTGGCTTGGCAAAGTTTAAAGATTACAGCTCCTGGAGATGATTTTCAACGACGTCTTTGTGCACGTGGGCAGCAGAAAGCCTGACATTCAGGTCAAAGAACCTGGCAGCGCAGACCCTAGTTTCAGAACGGTTCCGATGCTGCCGCTTCCACACCATTACCTCTTCCAACCTGAGGAGACTTACCCGTCATATACAGTGCGCTGGAGGAGTTTTTCAATGCCCGACGCCCACGAGGAATGGAAAGCGAGAGAGAGAGAGAGAGAGGGTGGCACGAACCTCATGAGACCAAACGTTGAAGAGACCAAGAGAGCAGCGTGGGTATGTGTATAAATAAGACACATAAAAATATATATATATACACACAACATACATATACTTATAACTTATATGTTTATGCCATGCACACATAGCATTTTGCACTTGATGTTCTGGCTCAAGCCTATAGGGTGGCTAAGAACATCCGATGAGTTAAGTGACCCGGGAAGCGGCTATGGGCAGCATAGGCACCAATGTGCGGATGTTTTGCAGCCTTTTGCCACAGCAGAATGTGTGGGTTGATCAGCTTTTTTCATTCTGGAGGCTTCAGCTTTAGAAACATCACGTACCGGCGTCCAGAAGAAGCACTTTTTGCATCAGATGCTGTGCCTAAAGCTCAGCATTTTGATGTCAACTGGATCCGACTGGCTGCTTTCTTTTCACAGCTGTGAGTCTCGTTCAGCGCAGGTGCATGGATTCGCCGGAAGTGTTGCAGCCGTTCTTTCTGTGCGAGCCCCCAGAGCAGGTGCCGAGAGAAGAGACTGACAAGCAAATGGAAGACGGTTTTGGATCACAAAACAAATTCGATGTTGACATGCCGGGTGCTTTAGCAACCCTGCCTTGAAGGTTCGACTGTTCATCACCCTGTTCTGCGTTTCAGTTGCCTTTAGTCTGATTATAAATCATCCAGCAGCGATCAGCTACTATCGTGACTTGGATGCAAATGCAGTTGACAAATGTTGACAATATACGCGCATACATTTAATGCCCATGTACAATATTTCACGACAGTACAGCGTAGCATATACTGTAACAGATGGTTTTCTAGTTGAACCAACATTTGGTGTCATTCAACTCATGCCATATTGTGCTGCTGGACTTCTCTAGCAGTCAATCCGAGGTTTCGTTGCAAATGCGAATCTGCCACAGAGTGGTCGACGAGGACTAGGCTACAATGCGTGTAAGGCATATGGTATCTTCCCAATCGGCCATCTTCCAGAGAGTCACTTTCAGATGGTGGGATGGTTGCTAGTGCCGGCCCCAGCCTGTCGAAACAGCCATTGACAGAAGCTCTCACGCGCTGTCAGACGCTGCATGAGCCCAGGTGGTCTCGCTACTGCTGGCTTGCCACTCTCACTTGGCACCCCGATTTTTCCTGTTTGCAAGCTTCGGCCTCTACTTCCTGTACTTTGGCCAACTTTTTTGCGAGCAGGGTGCTTAGCCAACCTAACGGGCTTAGCCGCTAGCATCCCCTAGCCCTAGCCCGATCCAGTTATACTATTTCTATCTATTTCTTGTCTGAACATGTCGCAGTCATGTCTCAGGTCCAAGCATGGTGGTCATGGTGCACTTTTGTTACCTTCGGTGCTGCTCCTGTTGGCATTAAGTGGAGGGCCTTTGGGCTCTCCATGGAGCCTCGTCTCTTGGCGCAATGATGTTTGCCTATGCATACATACAAGAACACCGTTCTTTGGCCCGCCTTCAAATCATCTAAGTCACAATGCAAAAGCCGAAATGGTAAAACATCCACGAGACCATGAGCCTTTGGTTAGAAGAATCACAGAAATAGAGCCTAGCCGAGCCTATGCAGACTAGTGCCTGTTTATCATGTTTCACAGCAGGTTCTTAAGAGGAAATAGGAATATTTTGTACGGGGGTCCAAACCCTGATAAATACAATGCTTTTGAGGCCTGTCGCTCTTGATCCGCCCAAATTTCCTTGAAAATCCTTACGAAAGTGAGTGAGGTGGGGTGGTTGCAGGTGACCCCAGAGCCTGGCGAGGGAGAGTGAAAAAACGAGGCGGTCCAAAAGGTAGTGAACATGATTGAACATGTATGTTTTTAAGGGTCTTGGTGATGCGAGTGATGCACATGACGCTGAGTAGTGCATCATTAGCATCACAAAGTGTTCAGGAGATTATTAAAGTGAGGTGAGCTGACCAGGTGTGTGACTGGATCACTGCATTGTTGTCAGGATGGTAGGAAAGAAATAGCGCTTGACTTTCATTGCTGTTGTAGCTCACTTGAAACCACTGACTGCAGTCACGGTGCTTGACCTAGCTTTTTTGCAAGCAGATTGACTGGAAAGGTTAACGGTCCTCCTGCGATAATTGCCGCCAGTCTAAGGATAACGTTCGGGGTGCCCTTTTATTTGCGTGAAGAGGGCCCGAAGCCGGAGAAAAAGGGCACGCCCTAGACCTGTAAAATAGCTCGGCTTAGGTCCTCCAAATGGTCATGCATTAAGTAAGAAAATTCTACCATAAAGTCAATCAAATATAAGAATGGTGGCTACATCATATTTTATATTAAAGATTTCCACACTTTTATATTTATTTGTGGCCTATTTTCCTAAAGAGGCACAGAATAAAGAACCTGTTACCCTTGGCGAGCCACAAATCAAGGGTTAAATGATGGGGCACAGTGGCTCGCCTGGGATTCCTTGGGCCCCTTCACCGCGGTCATGCACCTTCCAGTTCTTCCAGCGGTTACCAATGACTACCGCTTCCAAGATCAAATATGTGGAGGAAATCTAAATGTCCAAGGGAGTTGGACAATTGTACAAGAGCCACGCCTGTCCTATGACCAGTAACAGTGGATGGGGGTCAGTAAAGGCCTCAAGGTGAAATTTCGCACATCTTTGCCTTCTGCTTTTTCGTGGCTAAGCAAGCAACGTGCAAAATAGGTGCAACTTTGACTTCGCCCCATATAGATCCTATAGCAACATTATTACTGTAAAGGTTTCTCAATCCCCACAGGCTTTCTGCCCCCTCCCTTCTCAGGTTTTCAAAAAACAACGCAGAGAAGGGACCTTTAAAGGAACTATATACTGTAAAACAAAAGTATAAATATATACATGCTTACATACACAGTATAACTCCAGTAAAACAACATATAGATATATAGGTTGTTTCTAGATGTGTTCCTTTGTCCCCTTTAGGTCAGTCTTGTGTCCCTGTGTTTGCCCCAGCAATTGGCAGCAGTGTCTGAGCCCAGCCTCCTTTCGCTGCGCCATGGAAAAACTCCGAAGGTACACAAACCCTAAGTATCCATAAGTCCTATATATGTGTTTCCCAAGTCGAAGGCAAACTCCTCCGCTAATTATGTTTCCAATGGGGGAAACCTGCATCGACTCTTGAGTTGTAAAGCCGCTTTTGACACGGCGAGCGTCTCAGAGTGCCGAGTGGCTTTCCCAAAGGAGGCACGCGAGAGTGACGAAAACCAACACCGAGAAAGCCCGCCCCGAGAAAACCCGCTTCTGGCTCGCCAGGGATGTCATAGGGCAAACCACACAACGGATAGGATGTGTTTCATGTTCTTTGTTGGTGTCTCGGCGTCCATTGCGTGAGACGGGGGGGCACCGGAGGAAGAACTCCGAGAATCGAAAACAACTTCCCGTCCGCTTCGAATCCGTTGGTTCCCCAAACCGGGGGGGGGGAGGGATGGAGGAGGACAGGACCATGGGACTTCACCTCTCAGCTTCGGGCTTGTTCCCGTTTCCTTTTGTGACTTTGTGAGGCTTGGAGTGGTCCATCTAAACATATCTAAACCATGATTTGGGAACATTCAACACTGAGGCCTTGGTTCTCACCGTTCTGGAAAGCAACAGAGTCAGAGGACATTAGACAGAGGACTTGGAACAACCTGTTGTATCTCTCTCTCTCTCTCTATTACTCTATAGACTTAGGCAGTCAAATTCATTCTTTTGTGTTTTCTGGAGGTTTATGGATTTTAAGGAATTTGGGGAGACTAAGGAATTGCAGGAAATAACCAGGGATGTTGCTTCTTCGCGGAAGGCTTTGGCGGGTTGAGCCGAAGAATCCAAAGAACATTTTACAAGCCGAGTCATTTTGAGTGGCGTCAGTTGGAGCCCTCACAGCCCAAGTCATCACTCGTGAAAAAAGTGTTTTCTTATGCATAACGCACCCATGTCGGGTCAGGGCCTAAAGCCTAAGCCATCCATACCAGCGGCTTTGTGTGACTTGTGCTCTTCTGCAAAAAAGCGGAATTCAGCTCGTCCTTCTCATCCGAAGTCACTATGGGTGAACTTGTTTTTCATTGTCATAGACGATCAATGGTGATCAGTCTTGCCTTTTTGTTTGAAGAATTGTCACATCGGCACGGAGGATCTTTAATCTCTGGCTGCTCAAGCCCCCCATGAAAAGAACACCGGGAGGGCAGTCTCAGGGACGGGACAAGGGAAAAATGGCTGCCAGCCACGCCGTTGTGTGCAGGCCGATCATTCATGTTTTTGCACCAACAGCCAAGGGCTCTTAGACTTCGCAGCACATCGGAGCAGGTTCCGGAGCAAGTTCGGTTCAGGTTAATGGAGCAAGCTCTGGAACAGGTTTCAGAGGAGGTTCCGGAGCAGGTTCTGGAGCAAGAGCAGGTTGCGGGGCAGTTCCGGGACACTTTGCAGATACCTTTTGTGTCCCTGACTCGCTGAGGTGTTGCCACGTGGATATGCTGAAATGATTCGAGCTGCCACATCGCTATGCTTGTGTGGTGTCAAGCTGACATGTTCTCATGCTGGTGTAGTATAGGTCACGCTAACATGCCGACATCTTGTCACGCTGAGATGCTGAAGTCGGGTCATGCTGTCGCCGGAGCAGGCTTGCTGGTTTTTGCTTGTAGTGGGCCTGTCGTGCTTGCACACAGGTGGGCGCATGATATGTGCTATGCCAACATCTTGATTGTGTTGGTATGCCCGCGTGGCACATTCAAACAAAGGCATGACTCGACACTTGTTGGTGAACGTGCGATGGTGCCATTGCCTAGTACGCGGCGGTTTTCGATGTGCAGCTGTTGGTTTCTTTTTTGGGCTTATTTGGCTTTATTGTTGCGCTCTAACACCTCCCGCAACCATCCCCGGGCACGTTTGGGGCAAGCAGGAGGGTGCCATGACATAGACCTTGTGCTAAAAACAATAATTCACGACACCTATGTCACTTCAGATGCTAAAGCCTAAGTCACCCGCACTACTTTTTGTTGCATGTTGTAGGGCACAAGAGAACACAACTTAAGACTTAAGGTCTTCATCAAATTGTTTCTGGGCGTCATCTATTTTGCCGGTGCAGTGTCGAAAGTTGTGGTGGCTGGGGTCTTTGGCCGGCCATGGCTGGGCAGTACAATGCAAGCATATATCGTGGATGCTATGTGGAGCCGCCCACATTCCTCCTCCCTGGTGCGAGCTTTGCAGTGCTTCATAATTCAGCGCTGGTATCTCTGCACCTTCTTGGCTTTGCATAGCCCTTAGCGAGTCGCACCAACATTAAAGCGCAGTGTAGATGGGTCTTTGGAGTTTAAAGGCCGTTGTTGTCCCATCATCGTTAGGTCAGGGCTAATCTTTGAATTTGCATGGCTGCCCGTTGTTATGTTTGGTGGCAGATTGGGATCGGTGCTGAGCTGAGCTGGGATGAAGCATGACAAATTGCTCAAAACCTCAAGAAATCGGAAAATGCTCTGGGTGAAGCTTGGTGCTTGAGGTGCTAGCTGGTGCGGTTGCTTTTTCCTTTCACCTGGGCGTTGATCTCTTGCAGGTCAAGCAAGGAAATCCGCTGTTCACACTTTGTGCTTTCATGGCTTTTGTCTTTGATACGCCCTGCAGGGGTTGGACTTCAAACCGTTCTGGTGCCCAGTCTTCTGGGTCTTCCTGCCCGATGTGCAGGCAATTTGGCATGGGCAGGCAGGGTTGTTGAAGTGGTGTCCGGTGTTACTGTATCTTGTTTTTTGATCTCTTTGTCCTCCTTTGTGGATTTTTTTGGTGGCAGGATGTCCTTCCCAATGAGATTTGGACCATCCTCGCTCAAGGCTTTGAAGAGGAACCTTGCCGCTGGATCATGAGCGCCCTGTTTAAATTGTGACAGTTTCTCGCCCTTGTGCAGGCAAGCTTTGCAGTGTATTTCTTTTCCCGGTTCCGCATCGCATTTGGCGTCTCTGCGCAGGTGCAGCATACCTGCTCCTTCAAGTGGTTGTTGCAATCCGTTTCATGGATTGCTGGGAGGGCATGGAATGCTTGCCACTCACATGTTGCCCAATGTTTGCCGTTCCGCGAAATCTGTTTGATGATGAGTTGCGAGCTGGGGTGTGACACTCAGTGCAAACATACAGGAGGTGGCCGTGTTCGTGTGTTTCTTTCTTGTCCATTTGGTTGGAGCCACGAACGAGCGATGAGGTCATGACTGATTTGGACCTCAGGGGTGGTGGTCATGTGGATTTCGCCTACAACTTCTTCCCTTGGAGCACTGAGCTGCCCCTGAGCACCACCGACCTCCAGCATATGCCTGGCCGGGTCCTATTTTGGATGTCCAGCCTTCACTGCAACGAGAACCTCACAAGAATGTTGAAACCAGAGTATTTGGACAAGGAGCGATTTTTGTGCATCTTCACACTCTTCAGACTTCAGCATATGTAGGATTGCTGCCAACTTGGCAGGAGCTGTTGATTTGCGCAAATTTTGATGTCTCACCTGCCCTGCACGCCAAGCTTCTCGAGCTGGTCCAGTTCCTCGAGCAGGCTGACCCGAACAAAATCACTTCTAGTGAACTGGCACAGTGCACCTCTCCAGGCTGACCCGAATGATTGGACTGATGCAAAAAAGACGCTTGGCTCAAAGATCAACAAAGCTTGACGCACTCTAGCTGATCACTGAATCCACACACACAGACCCACACACACGCACAGATATTATATATATATATATAGTGGCAAGTAGTAGAGGCAAGCGATTAAGCATGATTGCATGCCACTTCTTTCATGTTGTTTGGCTTGTCTTCTTTGGCAGGATTGGAGAGGTTGCTGATCTTCAAGCTGAATGCCGCAGCCTCTTCAAGGAGCACTCTTTCAAAAAGTCCCAGGTGCGGAGCCGCCTTTAGAGGGGGTCTTTCGGGGGATGGGGCAGCGACGGAGCATCTCAAGCAGTCTAATATATATATATATATGGATTTCCGACCCCTTGATTTAAAGTTGCTGAGGATGCCTGCTCATATGGGCTTCAGGCCCAGCCCTTGGTGCAGTTGGCATTTGCGAAAGCATTTGAATGGAGCCAAAAACCACATTTGCGAAGCTGTTGCTGGTGCCCACCAGCTCCAAGGCAACCAAAGGGAATCCCGATTTGATGAACTGGATGAAATTCTTCACTCCCACGGTCCCATGCTCAACTGTCTAGTCGGACGCGCCAACGCTTGCGCGCACGTTCTTTTTGGGCTCAGGAGTGGCACCCATACGTGGCAGCACAATGAGCTGAGATAGCAACCTGAAGGGGTACTCTCAGCAATTTTGCCAGGGTGCGAATCTTGCTTCTGCATTTCTGTTACTTCCATATTCCATCCAGTTCCATAGAGTTCCATAGTTCCATCATGTTCCATCCATCATATTCCCTACATAGTTCCATTGGCAACTAGGATGCCACTTGTTCTTCCGTCGCAGCCTGGTGCGCATGTTAATTGACTTCATTGGGTCTGAAAGGCTGAGGCTTTTTGCAGCCGAAGAGTTCGACGAGACGACTGCAAAAGCAGCCAGAAAGAGAGGATGGTTAGGAGGATGGGGATTCAAAAAAGGTGCGACTACTCCGCTGGTTAGGAGGATGGGCACGATTTTGCATGTTGATAGGTGTCGTATGGCTTGGTCGGTTTGGCAGAATGGGTTTAAGCCTGCGTTTGAGCAGAGATCACTTGCAAAGTACCGAGGTGGTCTTTATTGTGGAAATCCTCTTGCGCGTCATGGCAGATGGATGGACTTGGCCATCTCCCAAGAATTGGTGCCGTTGATTACTGTACTCAATCAGCTGGTTTGTGGCTGGCAGCTGAGGTTTTTTGCCACTGGTAATGCGGTTGATGTTGTCCAACACTAAGAGGGCTAGGAAACCTTGAAGCCTCATAGTGAAGTCTTTGGTACTCGTAGCTGCTGCAACTGAGATTCTCATTATCGTCACAGGCACGTGATTGAAAGCTGTTTTGGTGCATCATTGGCACCGTTTCTATGTGACTCCGCCAGGTATCATTCCAACCTACATCCTGCAGGGGATTTTCAATGTGGACAGCCGGCTCTTCAGCCGTTGAAGCTGAAGCATTTGTTGTCAGTGGCCAGATCAATATTTTGTAAGCCTGCAATATTTTGTGCTGTGAACGGGTTGAAGTCCATAGACAAAGTCCAGCTGTGCACCATTGACAATTTGTTGCTTGCGAGTGAGGGTGCACCAAAATCCGCAAATAACATTTGTAGATTGCAGATGCTTGTCGGGACACGTCGGATGCCGCACAGACAAAGGGTTCGGAAGAGCAACCCTGCCGATACACTTTGCAGTCTCACCCATGCATGACCACAGCCAAACCGCTAAAGCTGGAATCCAGCTAACGGCATATTGCCTTCGTTTGAAGCCTTTCAGTGGTACTCCAAGCTCAAGAGGTGCTTCAAGCACACCTGGACAGGAAATATGACAGGAAACTCATGCTGACACATATACACCAGATGCTGCAGGGTTCGGTTTCGCCGCACTTAGTATGTGGTTTGTTGAAACATTCTTGTCTATCACAGGCGGGCAACATATCCATACAATTCATATTTTTGCTAATGGGCTTAAAACCGCGCGAAACTGATTTTTCATACAGTCCTTTGGGGGGGCAAGAACACACACACAAACACACGCATTGGAATATGGAAGTTGGGGACACGGGGGGGTTAGGGGGGAGGGGGGGTGGGGTGGGGGGCTAGTGATGTTCATGTTGAGTGCATGTTTATTAGGAAGTCACACACGCACACGCTATGGAAGAGGGGGTGGGGGCGGTTTAGGGACAGGGGGGTTGGGTGGGGGGCTAAAGACGTTGCATGTTGTGTAAAGAAAAGGTTGAAGTCAGGAGAGCTGCTCATCCACAGGTGCCATTGATGGTATGTGGCGTTTGTGTAAGGAGTCGGTCCCCACTAGCTTGCATTCACGTGAAGGTGACGGTATAAACCCAAACATCATGAAGTTCATTCGACAGTGGCAATGGTGCTGGCACCAGAATAAAGATGATCTTCTTGACGAAGCTGAGTCAGAAGTTGTCCCACAGACTGATGATGATGCTGGAGGATGAAGAAGCGCGCCTTTTTTTCGCACGAAACCACAGTCTTGTAGCATTTCGATGTCAAAATCGCAACGATGTTGGAGTTGTTTTCATGTACTACATGCTGGAACAAACCTTTCACATCAATGCAAAACACAGTCGCACACCGGACATTCGTCATCATTAACCACGTGAAGACTTGACAAATGTCTTCAACCGCACGCGCAGAGACGAGCCCGGCGGGATATTTTTGTATATATATATATACACTTTGACCATGATTTTCAAGACCATAATGTCTTCTTTGTTTACCATAACATGTTGTTGAATATATATATATATACATACACATGTATGTCTATAAGTATGTTCTTGTTTACATACTAAAGGCACCAAGCATACAGTGTACATATCAAAGGCCTAAGAACATTGCTGGCGCCAAAGAAGTCTCGCACTTTCGAGAGCTGCGACTCGCCGTCCGAGGTGGCGAACTACGAATCGGCCAGGCCTTGCGATGCGTTCGATTGATTCGCATCTTGAAAAGTGCCGGGTGCCTTGGGGGCGACCGCGGCCGGAAAGGATCGATTAGTTGGCACCTATCCATTTTGCAGATGCGTTCTTTGATCCGGAATGTGGTGTTTCTGCACTGCAAATTTGGATTCTTCTTGCCACGGCCCAGGTTCGTACCATCAGTGCCTTCAGAATTTTATGGTCGCTGGAAACTGCCTCAGACCGTGCTGGCAGCACACACTCCCCGGGTCCAAGTGCAGCTAAGGTCAGTGGCATCGTGGATAGTGGGCGGATTCTTCTGTGGACGCTCACCATCATCCTCGTAGTTTTGTACATGCTCATGCCTGAGCTTTGTCTAGTCTAGTCTTTAGGCAGGCTCTAGTCTTAGTTCCAACTTCTTGGATTTGACTGAGGTTCTCAATCTTTTTTGTTCAGCTGCTGGTAAAGTCCGGGCTGAACCTCACCCCAGACCAGACAGATGTCAGCACACCCAGAGCCAGAGGATCATGAAGTGGGTTTGAGTCCTGGGCGTCTTGCGATCCTCCAGTGCCACCCCCTTGGTTGGGCATTGAGAAGGGCTTCTTGACGGTTTTTGTATACTATACATACTGTAGTTGCTCGCTCACCTTTTCCACCAATCAGTTCCTTGATTGATCGATTCAGAAGTTGCAACGAAAATTGTTGGACTCGGGTGTGTGCTTCCATCGTTAGTCAGCTTGCAGGGCTTTTTGGCACGACGTTTGTTCAAAGAGGTGGTCTCAGATGTTTTTGGTCACAAAGGATCAGGTGGTCGCAAGGTTCCTTGCTGAAGTTGTTCACTACTGTCTAAAATAATGTCAGACTCGTCAGACATTGCTCTCCCCAATCCTTCCCCAATCCTACTTGTTGACGCAACCTGAGTGATTTCTCGATGCAGATGGTGGACGGCTTCATGAAAACGGTCCCAGAGGCCATGTTCACGCTCTTCCAGGTGCAGAGCTGACTTCCAGGTTCTGAGCTTTGAGCAGTTGTTGTTGTTGTTGCTGCTGTTGTTGATGTTGTTGCTGCTGTTGTTGTTGTTGTTGGTGGTGGTGGTGGTGGTGTGTTTGGTGGTGGTGGTGGTGGTGGTGGTGGTGGTGGTGGTGTGTTTTTATGGTTCATAAGTTTTCAATTTTCGCCTCGCATCTCATACAAATTTGCGCTTTGCACGCTTCTTGCTTGCGTCGCGAAGCACGCCAGTGCCTGACTTTGGATAGCTGGACCTGGTTCAGCCGAGAGCTGCAGAAGGATCAGCCTGGCACCTTGAGGGGATGAGGTGATTTGTCTTTTTCCAGCATGTCCTGTGTGAACGATCGGGTTCTATCAGAGGCCTTTTGTTGGAGTACTGTGGCTCCTCTACGTGGCGGTCGCGTGCATGGTCGCTTGATGCAAACCAACATGAACACGCTCTTGATGTGCATTCTGCTGAGTGTGCACAGCTTGAAAGTGGATTAAATACATTCCATGGTCTGACAACGTTGTGCCTGCCGCACGTATGCCGTGAGGTCTTGAACAACTTGGTCATTGCTGTAATTGTCAACAATGCAATTGCTCGAGCAGAGGAGGCAATGGGCTCAGAGACATGCTCCAACAGACTCGTTCATCAGAAAGGTTCGCATCACTTTCGTTTCTTCATTTAGTTTCCGATTATTTTTTTGGGGTGTGTGTTTTAGTATGTATATTTATATATGTATATTATATGTATACGGTAACGCGATACCGTATATTATATCTCCATTTGAGTGGGTGGAGTTCTGAATAAATTCATCGTAGATGCTCTCGAGGACGAGGAGCTTCAAGCTTCGATTGCTCGGGAGACCACTGAAGGTGAGCTGAATGACCTCAGGCTGGGTACATCGATTCATCCAGGTTCTGGGCAGGCAGAGTCGAGCTTTATATAACTTCTAGCCGTTTGCAGGCAACTCTTTGATGAACTCGTCCCAGAGGCAGATAGGGACTACATGACCCAGGAGGACATTCGTACTGCATTCGCAAAAGACTGGCCTCAAAGCTTCAGAGCGGCGTCCTGCAGGAGTACGAGGATGCAGTTGAGAAACAGAACGAGACTTTGTGCCTTGCCTGGAGCAGCCACGACGCTTCATCAGTGAGATTCTAATGATGGACATGAGGTGGACGAAGCTGAAACTTAACAACCTCGAAGAAGATGAGATCATGAACCTGTGGACGCCACCAAGTTGCACAAATGTGGTAACATTCCTGTTTGAATTCTGGCCAACGTGTTGGCGTCAAACGTCTCAAGGTGTCATGCTTTCTCGGCTCCTTGTTTGATGCGTGCTATGTTTGTTCGATGTCCTGTGAGGTATATGGATTGGGAAGAACACATTGACCGAGAAGAATTCGCACAGCAGATTCGAAACTTGAAAGGCAGGGGGTTTTGATTCCTGTTGCATAGAGACAGGCAAATGACCGGGCCCTGATCACAAACAGGTGAATGCAAGGCAAAGCACAGCTACACAGTGGCCATGAATCTCAAAAAGCTTGATGCAAGACTGATTCAGGCCTGATGCTACTTGGTCCCTCTCATGCTTTTCAAGTGATGCACTAAATCTAAGTATACCAATCGAAACCGTGCACGCAGGCCAAAAACTACCTGGAAACGCACAAGTCACTTTGTGAGGAGCGTGGCGCCATGTGTTGCACAGATCAATTTCGCCATTTCGCATGCTTTTCATATGCTTTCCGGAGGCCCTCAAGAAGGAAACCACGCAGGCACAGCTGCTGGGAGCTTGGGGCTCGTCCAAGAATCTGATTTGAGCAGGCGCAGCTGGAGTTATCTCGCGCCCTGCATGAGGTGCGTCTTGACTTCGTTGTAGTGCAATACTTCAGCAGCAGTTTTTCAGAAAAAAGTAAGATTCGCAATTGTATGTCTTGTCTTTTTTTCTCTTTCTCCTCTTTCTGAGCTTTTGGTCCCTTTCAGACGCGGCAATTTCTCCTCCTGACTCGGCGTTGTGCCAGCTCCCCGGTTTTGCGGGTGGCGATTCACCATCACATCATGTCACAGTCACTGGCTGCGGTTCCGTCTCTCCAAGCGAGTTTTGACCTGAGATACCTGGTGGACAAATTCCAGCAACAGCAAGTACTCAACGAAGAATTGAAGGCTTCCAAGGAGAGGCCAGGACAGCTTGGTGCAATCTTTCAAGTCGGTCAATGCAACATTTTCCCATCCAGCAAGCTGTTTCAGATTGCGAGGAGTTGCCAGTTGTTGGATTTTGCTTTGAGCGTTGCAGGTGGCGAAGAAGGTTCAGCCCCTGCACCATGCTGAGCCCGACATATTTTTTTTAAAGTTACTCTATAACTTATATAACTTATATATATATATATATGTATATAAGCCGTGATTCAGTTCTTCGGGGAACGCACATTTGGGCAAAGAAAGAGTGCAATCTAGGGCACTCATCCAAGGCTTACACCGATGATGGACCTCCAAGAAGACACAGACGAGACCTTTCGTGCACAGTTCCAAACTCATTTTGGTCGATTCATTCAATGCCATGCCATGCCATGTCATGCCATGCCATGCTGTGTCGCAAAACTGCCACCGAGGCTGGTGAAGATGAGAGAGCAGGAAGGGTTCTCTTTACCAGGTGAGATTGATGATTCTCAGGCTGCTCAGGCGTTTGTGCCGCCAATGGGATGACGCGGCAACTGTTAGTTGCAGTTTGCACTGCTCTTTGTTGGTTGTTGGTGCATGTGGCACACGGGGCATAATTCAGCTGCACGTAGCTCGTGCTGGCCTTTTCCAAGAAATGGCCTTATGGATCTAAGCCCACCCTGCTTGTCAGGTTGTCTCCCTGAAGGTGTGATAGAATACGCACTTGCACATGACCCCCGTATGGAAGCCGGAAGGGACGGAGGCAATGGGCACGGATGTTGAGCAGCTGTGGCGAATGACTTGCTTCAAAGAAGCATGCCATCTCCACGGGTGATGATCTGACATCAGATAGTTCGAAACAAGGACCGTACTTTTGTTACTGCTGTGCTGTACCTTTGTTTTGTTGAGCTGCTACAAGGTGTTTCCCTCTCAGCACCTTGTACCATGATGCACCATGTACTGCAGCTGTGTTCCATTGTACCTGGAGAGTTCAAAGGGTGAGGGCCCTCACTTGCGCCGAGAGGTGGGGTCTTGTTGAAAACACTGCCACACTTGTGGAGACCGCTTGACGGACGCTGTTTGCAGGTTCATGACGGACGCCAAGGACCGGCGTGCCAGTCGCGCATGGCGCTTGTCACCTGCAGGTGCGGCGGCTGCTGATGCGGACCAGCACCGGGAGCATCGAGCATGCCGTGCAAAGAACTGGGTACCGGCACCGGATGCCACGGAAAACAGCTGCTCGCCAGACGAACAACAGTGCTTCCTGGTCTAAGGTGTTCCGTAGGAACCTAGACGCCAATAATAAGATCAGCACATTTGTTCCGCTTGCCAAGGGGCTGTCATGTGATATAATGAAGTTGCTGAGGCGATCCAGAGGCCTTCTTCAACCTCTTCTGCAGTACATGCCACTACTTCCTGTCCGAGAAGGGCTTGATGATGCAAATGTTGGCTAACCCATCTAGCATTTGCTTCTCCACAGACCAGCGCCCTCAGGGAGTTGAGCTGCAGGATGAGGCTGCCAAAATGCCGGGCATGTGTGACTGCAAAGTTCAAGATTTCGCATGTGGCTGTGGAGCCCGTCTAGGCTATCATTTGACCTCGCCGTGTGAGGTGTGCGACGAGGAGGGAACCAAGCAGCGGTGGTTCTTGTGTCCCCGCTGCATCGAAGCAGAACCCGGAAGCGAATGTCCCAGAACGCCACGATGGGCAGAGGTCCCACAGGAGACTCAGGCACAGAGGCCCCATGGCTTACCTCAGTTACTTGGCTTGGTTCTTGGGACCTGCATTGTGAAGGGTGTGTATGTTGTATAATACTCTCTAGATATGCACACTCTAACCTCAACAACGCAAAAAAACAAAGCCATTCATAGTGTCACTTTGTGCTTTGACTCATATGATCACAGCCTCGGAGGTATATGTGATATGGGGTCTGAGGTCTACAAACGATGGACAGCTTGGACACCGAAACATGTCGAGCTAGATGCCAGGTACTGCGCACTTACCTACCATTTTGCGCCTATGTCGCGCACATATGTCCACAGCATGATGCGGGGCATATCATGTGGGAAGGCGTGTGTGCATGGTAAAGGTGTACTTGTTGCCACATGTTTCATTCCTGAGGTTTGGCCAATCTCGTGATGAGAAGATTGCGAAGCCGACGCCATTGAGCGATGTGAATGGCAGGGAGACTGGGTCCAAGGGGGCCAAGAATGAGCCGAAGGGCAAAGATGATGCCATTCTCCAAGTCGCACGGCCAACCTTGGACACCAAAAGCATTGATCCCAAGTGCAGCATGGAGACGACTAAGAGGCTTGCAGAGTTGGAGAGACGAGAGCAAGCAGTGTCAGCAAAAGAGGAGCAGCTCAACTTGCGTGAGCTGCAATTGCTGCGGCTGGAAGCTAAGGTCAATGTGAGCACAAGTCAGACGAGTCAGGAAAGGGTGCCATGGAAAGCAGACAGGGACTTTGGGACCCATTTGCCAGAGAAGTCGGAAAAGGATGTGGCGACTTCAAGCGAAGTCATCCGGGTTCAAGGCATGCAGGGCGTTCCAACTGCGGCGAAGCCCGATTTGGCAGACAGAGGCGTTTCTCCAAGGGAGCTTTCTGCGCCTACCACCCAAGTTTCCGCAGAGACGTTGTCTGCGGATTTTGAACGATTGCAGCAAGCTCGAATCGATGCGTGGGAAGCTCAACAGCGGGTAGCCAAAGCCACTGAGCATGTGGCACTGGCAGAGGCACATACGCAGGATGCAGCACACCCACAGGGAAGACTGGAGTATTCACAGCGGCTGGCAGAGAAGAGAAAGGAGCTTGAGCGATGGCAGAAGGCACTTGAAGAGAGGAGCAAAGCCCTTGAAGAGCTGGAAAAGAGCCTTTCGGACGCGGGCGGCAAGCTCTTTGCAAAGGCAAGCCATCACAGTGGGTCTGGCCCATTCCTTGCCAACTTGCAGGCAGATGCCGTCCATGCAGCCTCTGCAGCAGCCAAAGCAATGGTTGGAGCTGGCTTCACAGCCTCCAAGATTGTGGTAGCCGTAGCCAAACCCATGTTTGGAGCTGTGAAAATCGCAGGCTCCGCTGCCTTTCAGTTTGGTGTGAGCACATATGCAGCAGCAGTGGCACGTGCCAATGAAGAGGCCCAGGAACGTGCGATTGCACAGGCTACAGCACTGAGGCGCTCCAAGTACTATGCCTCTGCAAGCCCTGGCCTCACAAGCCACACAGGTCACGGCCACACAAGCCACGGCCACGCAAGCTACGGGCACATGGACTTCCGCGATGGCAGTGGTGTCCCACCTCCACGACGGACATGGGAGAGCAGATCACCACAGCCTTGGGGCCGAGGAGCATGGTCACCAGGTTGGCAGCCCTCGCCGATTTATCCCGCTTCTCCGGCTCCATCTCACTTGCCGCCCGTCATGGAACGGGAAGGCCTCTTGGGCTGGATCCGGCGAAACAGCGGCTGCGGGACCCGAAATCACATGGCCTATCCCGTACCGTATCCGGCTTGCGGGTGAGGGTGCACGACCCGTGGCAGACGGTCGTTTCAGTACACCTAGCCAGGTGCTCAAATTCAAAGGTGCACCAAATTCGCTGCCCACCTTAGCATCGGCCTGAAATTTCAGCCAAGATATTTGTGTTGGCCTTTCAAATTCATATTGGGGATTGCGGATTTGCAAGATCAGACGTACCTTCATGCCTGGACAAAGACATGAGCTGCAACGGCCGCATTTTGCAGATTTTAAAGCCCTTGCAGAATCTTGCAGATCAGAGATTCAGAGATTCTCCTTGAAAACTCTTGAACCTTTGTGATATTTCTTATGCCCTTGGCCAGGTCCAGCACACAGTGAAGTAGAACACCAGCAAGATTCAGCAAGCATCCATAAGCGTCCTATCAACAGATTGCAAGAGAGACAGACGAGGGAACGGTAAGGGTGATGAGTTCCCCCATGAATCCGAAGTGGCAGCTTTGGTGATCACCTGTTTCGTGGTCAAGTGCCACCTCCAGGTCAATAAGGGTTGAGGCGCACATACAACATCATACAACGACATAAAACGGGGCGGAGGAAAGAAAGATGCAAGTTGCTTGCAGTTTCGAAAGCATATCCTTTCAGACTAGCAGCCTGGTTTTGCCATGATGCGCCCTACCTCAAGAGGTGCTTCTGAAGTGAACCAAATCATATTAGAAGCGTGAGCTATGCTGCGTCCTAGCTAGGAGCGAACTTCTCCTAGTAACTTACTTCTCCCTTACTTAATTATGCAGGCGCCTACACTTAATTATATAAGTAGGAGTAGGAGCGGGCTAAAAGAAAAACCAATTTGTTTTTTAGTCTCTGTCTCTCTTCACCTTTGTTTCACTTGGGGCTGCATGACCCTTGAAGGTTCTACTACTTCCTTGGCCTCCGCTGGCAGGAACATCCTTGGGCTGAAAGGACTGCGGATCAATTAAGGTTTAACATGGTATATATATATAACCATTCCATTCATTTCCATTCCCTATTGGGTTGGAGGCCATCGCTTGTAGGTTGGAGGCCATCGCTATTGGGGCCATTCGCGGACACAAGGCGCTCTTGCTCCCATTTGCCCTGCAGGGCCTGCGGAAGCGCATACCCCATCTAAGCCAGATGATGCCTGGAGGCAGAAGAATGCGTTTTGGTGGCGAGCATTTTGTGTCGGGGACCATTGAGCACCGCATTGCTCAAAAATAAACATATTAGACGGGCTGGCTGTATTGTATATGATATGATATTATGTGCTTGACATCACGTGACCCTCTCTCTCTCTCTATCGACTATTGACATGAATGGTATCCAAGGAGCCTGCACGGGAAGCCCGTGAAAGTACTTGGAGGGAAGGAAGAGGATCAACACTGGATAAGGGCTTGAGAGATGATTTGATGAGGATTTTTTTGCAGTTGGACGAGGATGGAGACGGAGTCCTTAACCAAAAAGAGTCAGCTGCCACAAAGCAGCTTGTAGCTCTTGCCTGTGGAAAGGATGAGCGTGCACGGGGTGTTTCTGTTAAACAGGCACTCGGAGACGCTCAAGGGCGTGCAGATGACTTCATGTCTTATGTCGTGGCTGTGTCCAAGCAGTCCCAGATTCCTGTCCCAGAGATACTGAAGAGAATGAATCAAGCTTTGATGCTCGCCCGTAGGCCCAGTAAGTTTGATGAATCTGTCAATGAACTTCGGCAGCTCGGCGGCCATCTACCTTCGGTATCCTTCTGTTTCATATGGTTTCATGATGTTTCATTGGTTGTTCTGAAGATGTATGAGGGGTCAGGAGCCTTAATCATTCTTAATCCACATTTTCTTGGCTGAGGCATGCATTGGTGCGCAATGTATCCAACCTTCCAGATGATCCGCTTGCAGCAATACCCTTATGGCGCACAGCAACTGGAAGCTCATTTCCTTTGCCTCCTGGTGCGGCCAGTGGCCCTATGATCTGCGGAGTGGCCTTTAAGGCCATGCAGTACCTAGCGGCAAGGACCGAGGACGCCGGAATCATCGAGGCTGCTTTGACGGCGAAAATGGCGGCCCATAGGCCCATGTTCAAGAAGCTCTTTGATCAAGCAGGTGAGATTCTTGGGATTTCTCGCCCTGAGAGATCCACTTTGGATCTATTCTTGGGAAAACCCGACTCCGAGGATTTCCTTCGGGTTCGCTTGAAAGAGGTCTCCCTATCCTCAGGTCCAGAACCCTTACTGGATGGCATAGGTGGCTTTGATGTTGGACATGTTGAAGAGCGAGATGTCCCAGGAGATCTTTGGGCAGAAATGCGTAAGACAAAAGCGGAAGTACCGGAGCATCCTAAGCTTGCTCGTGCGACTTCCCAACTCACTGACAATGATCTTCAGAATGTTTCGTTAGTCCTTACAGCTGCGCCAGTGGGTCGGCACACGTTCAAAATTCGACTCCGGCTTCTTGGCAACAAGCTGGTGCCTAATTACATTCTGATGGTGCCAAAGTTGAGCACAAAAGGACATTGCAGGTATTCCTCGCACAAGGTGACAATGCTAGGAAAGGAGCCTGTCAAGGCCGCCTTTGAATGCGGAAGCTTCTTGCTTTTCAATGCCCGTGGAGACCAGCTATCTGACTTGGTTTTGGAGCATGAATTTCTGAACCAACGTGTGCGAGTGCAGCCCAAAAGTTCTGCTGTCATCTCGGAAGTTGTCCCTGTTCCTGAGCTTAGTGAAGAAGAAAGACTCAACAACCTGGCATGCAACCCACGAGTGCGGTCAGTACTGGAATCTTTGGGCTGGACAGGAAGGGTGGGGAGCGTGACATTGCCTTTGCCATGCGTTTAGGAAGAGCTTTAAGAAGTGGCTATGCCTATGACGCAGAGGCCACAGAAGCAGAACTGTCTGATTTAACTACCATGATTTGGGAGAAAAGTCGAGGAGACTGCTCGGCATTCAATGCTGGCTTCGTGTATGCCCTCCGAGCCTTTGGAATCCCGGCTCGGGTGTCCCTGGGATTCAAGTACGGGACAGCGGTCCGGGATGCTTGTGGTGCAGTAGTGGCTCCTCACGCGCAAGCAGAGTTTTTTGCCGACGGGGTTGGTTGGGTGCCTTGTGATGCTACCACTGGAGTGCGTCGGTTCGGTCATGAAGCCACTGAAGTTCTTTCCTTTATCGAATGGAGGCCTGCCAATGCTGCCTTGGAAGAGGTGAATGAAATGCACAAATTTATTCAGGCAGACTATCATTCTTTTCAACCGCTGCGTGCTCAGCTAGAAGGCGATGGGTGGGCAGACAAGCCCATGCCGCCGGAGAAATTTGGCAAGATGGTTGCTGAAGCTACCAAGCAGTCAGAGAGCAGTGCCTTGGGGCAAATCAAACAGGTCATGCATCTCTGTAAAGGTGAGCCCAAAATTCCATCTGCCACTCGCATGGCAGACCTGTTGGCAGCTTGGGAACTTGGACAATTTCGAGAGTTGGGCACTGGGAATGGTTTGACAGAATCTGCCAGGGCAGGTCTCAAAATCTTCGAAGGTGGACCTTTTTCTGGTCGGCCCCTTCGCAAGGCAGAGATCAATGAGAACATGCTTGTACCTGATCAGATAGATGCCGTGATGGAGCATGTTGGAGCCAAGTCCACGAAAGACTGGCCAAAGTTTTGGCCATTTGGAGTCTTCTCCTGCAACTATGAATTCACTCATCAACCACCTTAACTGCTTCAATGTACAGTTCAGATCTGTGGCACTGCACCCCACATGTGAGGCGACTGCTGACACCTGTGTTCAGATCTGGTGTAGCTGCCTCTTTTTTCAGTGTAAATAGACGACGTTCACACAGATTTATAGACCTGTCTTGTGGTGGTTCAGTCCGACTTGCAACTCGAAAAGGGTGCTTGTGGCAACCGTTGGGCAACCTTTTGCACATGTTTCGATAGTCAGCCGAAAAATCAGCCCCTTTGCAGGTCAAGAGGAGTTCCACAGCTGAAGACTCAAGATTCTAGCTTGTTCAGTCTTATGAACCTAGGCTCAGAACTTCCGTACTTACACGGCCTAGATACCTCAGCGCAAATACCTACGTCAGCTACTCTGGACAGCTACGAAAAGCATCCCAAGTGCTTCTTGGAATGTACAGTATGGCTGACAACACATCGGTCAATTGCTGCGAGATCAACCTCACACACCACGCCATGTGGCCGGTGGCTTTGCCACCGAAACCCTTGGGGGACCCAGCTCCAGTTGGCAGCGTGGAGGAACCTTCGGACCGCATTTGTAGTCGCATTTGTATGCAGTTCATTGCAGTTCTGTAAATTCAGTTATGCATCACAGAGGGCATATGAAGGCGTCAGAGTCGCTTTGCACCACCTTGCGGTGATAATCTGATACATTTGGGGTTGGCTTTGACAGGTACGCTTTCCGCGCCAGAAGTCCTTGCTGGGGAGCTTTCTGCAGGTGAATCTGCTGACGTGCATTGTTCTCCAGCCCCAAATGCTCCAAGATGTCGCGGCTACCGCCCAAGGTCTTCAGTGAGCTTCTCTTTACATCGTACTTTTTCTTTTGGCCCGCGAGCAGCTTAAGTGTACGCTCTAACATTGCTGGAGCCAGAGTGAATGACTGAGCAGGGTCAAGAATGCACTGCCACATGACTGCCAACAGCTTGTTTTGATACCGTGTGGCTGGCGCCCTAAGGTCGGTACCGTGCTTTGGCTCGCCCTGCCGCAGCCTGAGACCCTACCGCCAGCTCAGTCGTTTCCCGCAGGGACCTGTCGGTGCCGTCTGAGGTCTCCGTGGGCCAGCGGGGTGTGTTCATGGAAGGCTTTGTGGTCCTTTTCCACTCTTTACACCATACAGCTGTTTGCCTGGGGACCCAAAACCTGGCAGACCTAGCGGCTAGCGGCCTAGCATCCATGGGAGCCTTGACCAGAATTTCTTTGGTTCGATGAGGTGTACAGGCCTCATCTCAAGAAGGGCTGGCCGTATCGATGGTTTCTTGGTTGCAGAGTTGTCCGTGCGATTGTAAGGCATGTGTTGGCACAATTGCCTGAATTGGCACCTAAGGTTGCTTCATGGGCCCCTGGTGGATTTCATTCTGTCCTATCATGATGCCACCGTGATCAGGGAAGGACCAGCCCCTGATCCTAAGGTGGGTGATGGGCAGATTGTTTGACTGATGAAGTATTTCATGAGATTGTGCGACTGTGAGGGTAAATACCTTTTTGCAATGTATCCCCATGGTCAGTCCCTCAGGCTTAATTAATTGCATTTCTAAATGCACAGTCTATCCTTTCTTTTTGTCAATGCTGCTCTACCTGGTATTTGCTTTAGGTGTCTATGGGGTTTGCCGTGCATTTTCTGGCGGCATCGGATGCTGGCAAACCTTGTTCCCAGGCAGGTCGTGTGTGAAGACTCGCATGTTACTGTTGGCCTGTCTTTCACTTTCCGAGGCATCTCTGCGCGCCCGAAACTCAAGTGAAGAAAGACGCGAAGCATGACGAAGCCCCAATTCGATTTGAACATCCCTCATGCATGCCTTTGAGGTTGGGGCAGCTTCGGTGCAGCTTTCTTCCTGCCAGGTGCATGTGTCAGAAAGTGTAGCCACCTACGGCCACACGCATAAACAAGCTGAGAGGCAGAGAATGTCTTGCCCTGCTGTGCTGCTGTGTCCGAGTTTCTCATTGAGGCATTCGTGAGATGTCACTCTTTTGCGGATGTCTAGATGCATCGAAGTGTTGACCTTAAGTGCCTCGTGTGTCACTGCAAACGGCTCGAACTGAGCTCTCTCCCTCGAGCTCCGCATGAGGCCGACCCTGGAGCGTGCGATCTCTCGAGGTCGGGGTGTGATCTGTCGGACGCGCTATTGTTGACCCAAGCGCATGTGGTTAAGCATGCAAGAACACCAATGGAATCCAATGGATATGGATGCCCATATGGTGCCCAGTATGGTGCCCATATGCTATCTACATCCATCTACTATCTCGATCTAAAAGGGCCTAAGGTCATCAAGAGTCCTTTAGTTCCCCAAACAGCTTACTGTTGGGTTCTCTAGGGGGAAAACGCTGGCCACTGACTCTGGCCGCTCCCCTGGATGTTGTCCTCCTGTTGCTCTCTCTCCGTGCTCGCAAACCCTTTGCGCTGCTGGCCACGATAGCTGTGGCCGCGCCCTCCGCTCTTTCTTCACCGCCTTGTTGGCTGTGTGGTGCCTGTCATCTCCACCCTGTCCGGGCCTTGTCCCCTGCTTGGCCACGCTGCTTTCCCGTTCTCCAGGCCGCCTTGTCCGGGTGGGTTTTCTTGTGGCTATGAATGCAACAGTGGCGCAGCGTTTCAAGATTTGATATCATCCATGGTTTTCTCCAACATCGGAATTCAAGGAATTGAAGCAACAAAACCCTGCTGGAGCTGTTTGGGGTCCATGCTGGTGTTGTTTAGCAGATTTTGCAAACGTGTATTTTTCTCATCCACCTAACTGGACCTCAGGCGAGAATCTCATTCTTCTTCCTGGAGGCATCGATGAGATGAATCTCACAGATGGCGAGTCAAAGGCACCACTGATGTGCATCACTTTTCGTGACAAACACACTGAGACACAATCGCACACGCCGCACATCGCACAAGAAGGCTTCCGGTCCAGGACACGCAGCTGGTCATGACGGACCGAAAAGGCTTCGTGAAACTCTCCATCGAAAATGGCCTGGACATTGTGCCAGGGTTCTGCTTTGGTGAAAAGTGGCGGCCTCAGATCAGAGAAGCTGCTTGGTGAACACAGCTTCTCCGTGAACTATCAAATGTTTTGTTTTTTTCTTCGGTGCTTTTAAGTGTGCTTTAGCAGGTCTGAGTAGTTCCTTCTTATATCATCTTATATCTTCTTAGACCGGTCGTGCCAGTGTAGATGATGCCTCTGGCACTCCAGTAAACCAGCTTGTACCACGTGAAAGTATTATTTGCTACGGTCACCAAGTTTCCTGATTTTCAAGTTTGCTGAAAGATTGGAGCTAGGATGAACTAGGGGCTTTCAACTTGAAGAACTTGCCTCCATAAACGACCTTTTGCATTAAAGCCAGCCTTCCACAGCCCGCCGGCACGGATGCAGTGCACAAGGCTTTTCCAGCCTCCCCTGCGAAGCTCTGCTTTCATGAGCCTTTCATTTGTTGCAGAAGATAGGGCTCATGCGGCATGAATATATATATATATATAAATTTATCTAGTTATCTATTCATCTATTTATTTATACATACACTACTAAATTTTATATATGAACGACAATGAGCGTGTGCCAGCAGATGTGATTTGCGCCCATGGGGATGCCAACGGTTGGATTGTGGCTGACCAACAAGTGTTGGTGGTGTGCTTGACGCGCTACAGGGGTTCACCCCCAGGCAAGCACTTGCATGCGTGCTATCTTAAAGCGGATGCAGCAGCAGCTTGTTCAAACAAGAGCCACAGAAGGAGCCGGGCCATTGCCACCTGAGCATGTCGAACACTCGCATCCAAGAAGAAAGATATCCATGAAGCGAAGCATGACCGCACGGCCAGTCCACCTGCTCAATGGGTCAATGCCTATGAACCCAAAGGGTTTTTTGGAAAGGCTTTTGTCCGACCGTCTTTTTGTACCTTCTCATTGCCGCAAGCTGGTTGCTTTTGGGACTTCCAGGGTGCACTGCTTGTGCACATCATTGATTGCACGCTCGGCGCTCTCCTTTGATTGAGGTGGATTCATCATACTATTCGCCTCCCACACTTCATTCAGAGCTTGCTCCGACCTTTGAGGCTGGAATTCACCGGAGCATTTATGCCACATTCACGGCGTAACATTTTTTGGGGGGTGAGCACAGCACTACAGCACTGCTCACACCATCGCATAGGATGAGCGGCACTTTGCAGGAGCCTCACGTCCTTAAGTGTCTTGAGATGACTCGAGTGTGGTTCAAAATCCACATCCCTGGTTCGACGGAAAGGCTTGAAGGCGTTTGAGGACTGACTCATGCTTGCATAAGGTTGCGTGGCCGTGGGCTGACCTTGATGGGCTTCCTGGACCCTCCGTTGGGTTTCGTTTGGGGTCAGCCCATCAAGGCCCACTCAAAACAGAGAGTGAGAGAAGACTTACGCATTGATTAGATGGATGACCTGGGAGAAACGAATTTGGGAAGACTGTAGTACTGGAACAGTGCAAAGCATCCCGGTCACTGAGCCAGGTCAGACAGCAGAAGCCAGTTGACGAGAAGTACCTTGACGAGGCCAATGTGCTGTCTCAAAGAGGCGTCACTTTGTTTTGATTGAAGCGAGGTTCATCAACAAGTTGCTGAGTCTGTCAGCGACATCTTCAAGCGGTACAAGGTGGGCTGAGACTGAGGAGTCCAACCAGTCACCCTTCTGGTCCAAGTGATTAAGAGGGTTAGATAAGTAATATTGATATTGATATGAAACATATACTGTAGTACTATTTTACTATACAGACTATACATCATTATATACTGTATTATACAATATTAAAGACTTTAGATTGTAATTATCTATTTTGTACACATTGCATAGAACCAAGATGTGCTCCCCCGCAACAGGAAAAATTTGGATATGCAGAAGACGAAACACTCTCCTTGGTCAGCGCGGCCGATGCCAAGCGACAGGCACAGCCCGATGGGCGCCCGAAGCCAGGGCGAAACCTGTCTGGTACAGATGTGTGCAGAGTACCTTTTGATGCTATGTGTTTTTCTCGGTTTGGATACCTCACCCACCTTAAACGATTAGTGTTTGATATGTATTGAACACGCACACGCACACACTTGAGATGAGTGCTCCGTGGAGAAAAGCTTCAGTGGTTCGCGGTGAGCATTAGCACTTTACGCATACTGCAGATTAGACCTTGGCTGCTGAACCGAAAGGTGAAGGAGTCTGCATCTACAGTATTGTTTAACATGGGTGGGACGAAGGCGAAACGCGAGTATTAAAAATCAATGCAGGTACGCCAGGATGGCCAATCCTGGTATCCCGTGCTCAGACTA